ATGTAAAATGTATTTGATCCCCTGCTGATTTTGTACGTTTGCCCACTGACAAAGACATGATCAGTCTATAATTTTAATGGTAGGTTTATTTGAACAGTGAGAGACAGAATAACAACAAAAAAATCCAGAAAAACGCATGTCAAAAATTTTATAAATTGATTTGCATTTTAATGAGGGAAATAAGTATTTGACTCTCAATCAGAAAGATTTCTGGCTCCCAGGTGTCTTTTATACAGGTAACGAGCTGAGATTAGAAGCACACTCTTAAAGGGTGTGCTCCTAATCTCAGCTTGTTACCTGAATAAAAGACACCTGTCCACAGAAGCAATCAATCAATCAGATTCCAAACTCTCCACCATGGCCAAGACCAAAGAGCTCTCCAAGGATGTCAGGGACAAGATTGTAGACCTACACAAGACTGGAATGGGCTACAAGACCATCGCCAAGCAGCTTGGTGAGAAGGTGACAACAGTTGGTGCGATTATTCGCAAATGGAAGAAACACAAAAAACCTGTCAATCTCCCTCGGCCTGGGGCTCAATGCAAGATCTCACCTCGTGGAGTTGCAATGATCATGAGAACGGTGAGGAATCAGCCCATAACTACATGGGAGGATCTTGTCAATGATCTCAAGGCATCTGGGACCATAGTCACCAAGAAAGCAATTGGTAACACACTACGCCGTGAAGGACTGACATTCTGCAGCGCCCGCAAGGTCCCCCTGCTCAAGAAAGCACATATACAGGGCCATCTGACGTTTGCCAATGAACATCTGAATAATTCAGAGGAGAACTGGGTGAACGTGTTGTGGTCAGATGAGACCAAAATCGAGCTCTTTGGCATCAACTCAACTCGCCGTGTTTGGAGGAGGAGGAATGCTGCCTATGACCCCAAGAACACTATCCCCACTGTCAAACATGGAGGTGGAAACATTATGCTTTGGGGGTGTTTTTCTGCTAAGGGGACAGGACAACTTCACCGCATCAAAGGGACGATGGGTGGAGCCATGTACCGTCAAATCTTGGGTGAGAACCTCCTTACCTTAGCCTGGGCATTGAAAATGGGTCATGGATGGGTATTCCAGCATGACAATGACCCAAAACACACGGCCAAGGCAACAAAGGAGTGGCTCAAGTAGAAGCACATTAATGTCCTGGAGTGGCCTAGCCAGTCTCCAGACCTTAATCCCATAGAAAATCTGTGGAGGGCGCTAAAGGTTCGAGTTGCCAAACGTCAGCTTCGAAGCCTTAATGACTTGGAGAAGATCTGCAAAGATGAGTGGAACAAAATCCCTCCTGAGATGTGTGCAAACCTGGTGGCCAACTACAAGAAACGTCTGACCTCAGTACTTGGTGGCAAAACCCTTGTTGGCAATCACAAAGTCATGTTTTGCAGAGGGGTCAAATACTTATTTCCCTCATTAAAATGCAAATCAATTTATAACATTTTTGACATGCGTTTTTCTGGATTTTTTTGTTGTTCGTCTGTCTCTCACTGTTCAAATAAACCTACCATTAAAATTATAGACTCATTTCTTTGTCAGTGGGCAAACGTACAAAATCAGCAGGGGATCAAATACTTTTTTCCCTCACTGTATGTATTAATCACCTCTTCCTTCCAGCCAAACTGGATTCAGCATTTAGGCTGTGGCAGAGGAATGGCCTTACTAAGTTTAATGACCTTTATATTGACGGCACCTTTGCCATTTTTGATGACCACTCTATCAAATTGAATCTACCCCATTCAAGTTTATTTAGATATTTTGAAATCCAGCAGTTTATTCTCACTCATAGCCCCACCTTTCCAATTCTACCATCCGGATCAGGTTTGGATGCCCTTTTGAAAACACCATTTCAACTAAAGAGACTCATATCCCGTATATTTTAGATAATAAAATCCGATCTGAGTAGGAAAGGGAACTTGGTGGAGAGATCTCTGACGAAGTCTGGAATAGTGCCTTACTTAGGGTAAATGGGAACTCCTCTTTTCCCTGGCTCAGCCTTATACAGTTTAAGTTTACTTCACCGTATACATTTCAGTAAGGCAGATCGTCCAAATTCTACCCAAATATTGATGTTACATGTGACGGGTGTAAAGGCTCATTGGGGGACTTGACCCACATGTTCTGGTCCTGTTCCCATCTGGCAGACTACTGGTCCACTATATTTCCAACCCTTTCTGAAGCATTTGATATAGAGTTGCAGCCTAGTGTAAAAATAGCTATTTTTGGAGTACCAAAATACAATCCTTCCCTGACCAATAGACCGCTAGATGCCATTGCCTTTGCCTCCCTGTTGGCCCGCAGAAGGATTTTATTGGATTGGAAATCTGTCAATCCTACCTTAGCCTCTCTTTGGCTCAAATATATGATGCTATTCCTAAAATTAGAACAAATAAAGTATACCATTTGAGGGTCAACCAACAAATTTCCTTCCACCTGGGACCCGATTTTACAGTGGGGAAAAAAAGTATTTAGTCAGCCACCAATTGTGCAAGTTCTCCCACTTAAAAAGATGAGAGAGGACTGTAATTTTCATCATAGGTACACGTCAACTATGACAGACAAAATGAGATTTTTTTCCAGAAAATCACATTGTAGGATTTTTAATGAATTTATTTGCAAATTATGGTGGAAAATAAGTATTTGGTCAATAACAAAAGTTTCTCAATACTTTGTTATATACCCTTTGTTGGCAATGACACAGGTCAAACGTTTTCTGTAAGTCTTCACAAGGTTTTCACACACTGTTGCTGCTATTTTGGCCCATTCCTCCATGCAGATCTCCTCTAGAGCAGTGATGTTTTGGGGCTGTCGCTGGGCAACACAGACTTTCAACTCCCTCCAAAGATTTTCTATGGGATTGAGATCTGGAGACTGGTTAGGCCACTCCAGGACCTTGAAATGCTTCTTACGAAGCCACTCCTTCGTTGCCCGGGCGGTGTGTTTGGGATCATTGTCATGCTGAAAGACCCAGCCACGTTTCATCTTCAATGCCCTTGCTGATGGAAGGAGGTTTTCACTCAAAATCTCACGATACATGGCCCCATTCATTATTTCCTTTACACGGATCAGTCGTCCTGGTCCCTTTGCAGAAAAACAGCCCCAAAGCATGATGTTTCCACCCCCATGCTTCACAGTAGGTATGGTGTTCTTTGGATGCAACTCAGCATTCTTTGTCCTCCAAACACGACGAGTTGAGTTTTTACCAAAAAGTTATATTTTGGTTTGATCTGACCATATGACATTCTCCCAATCCTCTTCTGGATCATCCAAATGCACTCTAGCAAACTTCAGACGGGCCTGGACATGTACTGGCTTAAGCAGGGGGACACGTCTGGCACTGCAGGATTTGAGTCCCTGGAGGCGTAGTGTGTTACTGATGGTAGGCTTTGTTACTTTGGTCCCAGCTCTCTGCAGGTCATTCACTAGGTCCCCCCGTGTGGTTCTGGGATTTTTGCTCACCGTTCTTGTGATCATTTTGACCCCACGGGGTGAGATCTTGCGTGGAGCCCCAGATCGAGGGAGATTATCAGTGGTCTTGTATGTCTTCCATTTCCTAATAATTGCTCCCACAGTTGATTTCTTCAAACCAAGCTGCTTACCTATTGCAGATTCAGTCTTCCCAGCCTGGTGCAGGTCTACAATTTTGTTTCTGGTGTCCTTTGACAGCTCTTTGGTCTTGGCCATAGTGGAGTTTGGAGTGTGACTGTTTGAGGTTGTGGACAGGTGTCTTTTATACTGATAACAAGTTCAAACAGGTGCCATTAATACAGGTAACGAGTGGAGGACAGAGGAGCCTCTTAAAGAAGAAGTTACAGGTCTGTGAGAGCCAGAAATCTTGCTTGTTTGTAGGTGACCAAATACTTATTTTCCACCATAATTTGCAAATAAATTCATTAAAAATCCTACAATGTGATTTTCTGGATTTTTTTTCCTCAATTTGTCTGTCATAGTTGACGTGTACCTATGATGAAAATTACAGGCCTCTCTCATCTTTTTAAGTGGGAGAACTTGCACAATTGGTGGCTGACTAAATACTTTTTTCCCCCACTGTATATCCTATTTTAAACAGCTCCAAAGACGACCTCCAGATTAGTACTCTTGGCCTCACCCTCACCCCTTGAGGTTACGGCTATATAGGCCTATAAGATCACCTAAACACCTGAAATTGTTAGGCTATTAAGTTTTTGCTTTGTATTGAAGTAACATTATGTTGTATACGTTTTTGTTTTCTGATATGTAACTCAATTACTTTCAATTTCTTTTTAAAATGTGTTTGAAGGCATTCTGGTGGGGGGTGGCTAATGGGGGGAGGGAGGTCGAGGGGAGGCAAAAAGGGGAAACATGTACAATGCCTTAATGTTTTATCTTTAATTTACTGTGAATAAAAATAGTATATTATTATGTTTTTTTTAAAGGAAATCTGAGAGGATAATCTATTGTCAGACATACTGTGTCGTCTTACTTTGAAGTGTAACCTGGAGTGAATGAGTAGAAGTCAGGTCGTTTATTGTTAACACACAGCCAGAGCTGTAAACTTCTGCACCCCTTGGAATCTAGGATTTATTATGATGATGATTGCACAATGTAAGGTCTGAAGTCATGGCACAGTGACCCCTCACTTACTTATACTAGCTCACCCTCTCATACCCTCACACACACTCTCGCATTAACACGACCGCTGGCTCTGAGGACTAATCAAATGAGAGCGCAGCGTCTCACGAGATCTCCTTACCTCGCCACGTCTTGACAACAGTTTTTTTTCTTCGTTCTGCAGGAAGCTGCCTGTTACCCAGGCAGGACAGTTCAGATCAGCTGGAATTGGTGTGTTGTCAAAAGGCACATTGTGAAAGAGAGAATGTATTTTATGTTTTGACTGGTAGAGGAGTGAAAATTATGAAGAGTGCAGTGGGGAGTCCTGATGTGTTTTGACAGTTGATAGTAAAAATATTGCCAGTAAGTAGAGACTGTAAATGATAGTTTGCTTAGTGGCAGTACAAATGATGTGTAGGATAAAGTTTGTTATAATGTGCACTTATACTTTTCAAACAATAACCTAGTTGTATTAGATGTTTTGAATTATTATTTCTCTGGTAACAGTTATGAAAACAACCTTTTGTTGTTGCAGGTCTTCCGTTTGCCTTCTACAGGGGTTTATGATTGGTGCCTATGAGGAAGACACTCCCTCTGCTTGGCTATTGTTAAGTTCCAGGTTCTGTGTGAGACGGCCAACCTCAGACCACCATTCACCAGCCAGCCCAACCACTGACACGGTAAGACCTGCTTCACACTTATCAATTATCTCTATCTCTCTTCACTCTCTCTATTCCTTGTCTTGTCTGTCTTCCTCTCCCTCATTCTCTTTTCAATGTCTATTATTTATTTAACTATCAGTATTCTACCTGCACTGCTGAATGCAAGAGTCACCGGGGTCACAATTAGGATATTATCCTTGCATCAGTGAGGTGATGTAAACTGCATACTGTAAATACTGTAGGCGTGCCCCGCTATAATGCCTGTCTGCTCACTGAGGGAGTGAGAGACTAAGACTTCATCACAGTCACTGTGATCTCTGTCAGCTGTGCTGTGAGGGGAATCTATCATCATGTGTGTTAGGCTGCTGATTAACTAACTGTTGTGATGTTAAGGAGTTAGGCTAGGTCAGTCTGCCCTGTCTCACACTCACTGTGGTATGTGTCAATAGACCACCAACCGTGAGTGTGTGGGAGCCTTGAGAACTAATGCTCATTTGATTAGCACTTTTATCAACACCGACAGACTCTTAAAGCTGTGTTGCTATGGCAGACGGACCTACTGTAGAGTGGATTAACGTTGTGGTTTCAATGTTTAACTTTTAGCATCCGCACTTACTGAGACCTTGCAACGCTCTGAAATGGTAGAGTAATCAAGTGGAAAATTAATAGATGTGAATGATATTTTAAGCAATTTGGTTATAGGGCGTTTCCATCAAAGCATCTACTGCAGGGTTCTTCAATTCCGGTCCTGGAGGGCCGAAACACCTCTGTTTTTCATCCTCTCCTTCTAATCAGGGGCTAATTCAGACCTGGGACACCAGGTGAGTGCAATTAACTACCAGGTAGAAATAAAAAACAGAAGTGTTTCGGCCCTCCAGGACCGGAATTGAAGAACCCTGATCTACTGTATGCATTGCATGTATCTAGCTCTTCATGCTTGAAGAGAAAAACTAAGCGAGCCGGCGATGAGGAGAACTAACTACCCTCTCCGTGTCTCCCCTCTCTCCCTCACTAAAGCATTTTATCCTTCCACTTCGGTGTCTGCGAGGAGACCTATAGGTGAGCATTCACTAACACCGTCCTCATCCACCCGGGCTGCGCCACCTACAGCCACCCCCCCAACCCCACCTCCATTCACAGCCCGCGGCATCATGGGGGACGTAGTCCAGATGCACTTCACCACGCCGGACTATGTGATCTTTGCCCTGCTGCTGGTGGCGTCCACGTGCATCGGCCTGTTCTACGCCCTGTCCGGTGGGCGCCAGCGCACCACGCAAGAGTTCCTATTGGCCGACCGTTCTATGAGCTGCCTGCCTGTGTCGCTCTCGCTCCTCGCCACCTTCCAGTCGGCCGTGGCCATCCTGGGAGCGCCCTCGGAGATCTACACCTACGGAACGCAGTACTGGTTCCTGGGAGTGTCCTACTTCCTGGGTCTGCTTATCCCCGCCCACGTCTTCATACCTGTCTTCTACAGGCTCCGCCTCACCAGTGCTTATGAGGTGAGCTCTAAACCCTAACCTTACCTAGAGAGAGAACAGTGTCTGTGAATGATGAGGATTATGAGGAGGAGTTTGTGTGAAGCTGTGTATCTCTCTGTGCCGCTGTCTTGCTAGAACCCTGGCAAGGGAGGCTAGTTAAATGCAAAAACAACATTCTCAGCATGTTGTCTGCTTTTTCATTTTGAAAATAGCTAACCAGATTAGCTGAACCAGAGTACGTCTCTCCATTGAGCATCGATGTACAGCAGACGTGACAGTGCTGCTGACAACAATGGACTGTGCCCCGGCCCTTAGAATCTTCACTTCTATTGCGCTCGGAATAGACACATTCACAGATGACTAATGCTTAATGATCAGTGGTAGGCTTTAACTTCTCTCTTTCCTTCTTCCCCTTCCCTCTCTCTCTCCCCCACCTTCTGTCTTTTCTTCCTTGTGTAGTATTTGGAGCTGCGCTTCAATAAGACGGTTCGCATCATGGGGACCGTGACCTTCATCTTTCAGATGGTGAGTGTATTTGTGTCCTCCAGACTGTTGTAGTTATGTCTGTGTGTGCTCCTGGTGTGTTCACACGTTACTAAGATCCTGGACATGCTGGGCTCTGTAGAACAGGGACATTCTGTGCTAGTAGGTTTCTCCCTTTTCCTGTGATGTGCACCACTTGATGTGCAATTTATATGTATTTTAATCAACCACCTATGTTACTACTCAGCTTGCTTCCCTCTGAATTTTGACCATTGTTTGACTGTCTCTGCAGGTGATCTATATGGGAGTGGTCCTCTATGCCCCAGCACTTGCACTCAATGCAGGTAAAGGGATCTGTCACATGTATTTCCCATATAAAGTGGTAGAATAATACTAGTTTCGCTGAGTACATTCAGTGAGATCTTTAGTACCTCTTCTGGCTTTATAGACGATCAATGACTGGTGTGGTGTAAATGTGATGATCTATGTTGGTGATGTGTGCTGTTGATACTGTCAACCTGCAGTGACTGGATTTGACCTCTGGGGGGCAGTGCTGGCCATGGGACTGGTGTGCACCCTGTACACGACAATAGTGAGTGTCTGTCTTTTCGTCAGTGAGTTTTCAATTCAGCCATCCATCTCCCTACAGCTCTGAAGGCAATTTATTATATACAGATGGATTTACAGTATGTATCTCTTGTCTTGCGTGTGTCAGGGAGGGCTGAAGGCAGTCATCTGGACAGACGTGTTCCAGACAATTGTGATGTTTGCTGGCCAGCTAGCCGTCATCATAGTGGGGGCCCACCAGGCAGGAGGCATGGGAGAGGTGTGGAGGAAGGCCATCAACGGCAGCCGCATCGCTAGTCTGGAGTGAGTCTTTTCTTTACTTGACCTAATGAGACTTAAAACTGTCCCTGGACCAGTTACAGAGGATATGAATAGTGGTCTATGGCTCTATGTGCAGGTATAGTGTTGTAACCCTCCTCTCCTTTGACCTGTGTCCCGTGCAGCCTGAACCCTGACCCGACGGAGAGGCACACATTCTGGACACTGGGGGTGGGAGGGGTGTTCCTCATGCTGGCGCTGTACGGGGTCAACCAGGCCCAGGTTCAGAGGTACCTCAGCTCCCGTACTGAGAGGGAGGCCATCATGTAAGCATTAACACTAATACCCAGTTGAACTGGATTCAAATGAATTAAATAATGTTCAAAATTAACAATTGCTTATACACATAATGGTAATAATATATGTTGTGGTGTGTGTCTCCAGGTCATGCTATGTGGTGTTTCCCTGCCAGCAGGTGGTGTTGTGTCTGGGTTGTCTGATGGGCCTGGTGATGTTTGCTCGCTACGGTGAGGATAGCCCACTGGATAAGGGCTACGTCAAAACCAACGACCAGGCAAGTAGGACTAGCTACCTCCATATCAACACACTTAGTGGACCCTCACTGTACTGGCATCCTGATGTGATTATGTTAGGGCAGCACGATATGGGTAAAAACATTGAATAGCGATTTATTTATTTTTACCAAAGATTGTGATTTTTCGTGAGATATAGATCGAAACACTTGGGTGAATTGTTGGAATCATAGAAATAGAATGACTTCTATTAAGAGGCAAAGTGGAAAGCAGCATCGTTCTTGTTTGGAACCATCTGTTGACTGCATTTGACCTACTACAGTAACAGAACCGCATGCAAACTAAAAGTGAATCTAACAGCGAGAAGGAGGAACTGTGCTGCTTGAATGACAGGGTGCGGGACTTGGTGTGTGCGGGAAGCAGCCGCAAGAGGAGAAAAGAACAGTAGTTACACACGGCTGAGATGCGTTCAAAATATTGCATGCGATATGGATCTCTTGCGAAATGAATATTGCACATTAATATTTCGATGTGAATTCGATTAATTGGGAAGCCCTAGTTAATGTCTCTCTCTTCAGATCATAGCCAAAGAAAGGCTTTTGTAAAGATGTTTGAGTTGAGGCCATTGTTTGGTTAAGATCTCCTATAAATGTAATTTGTGAGGCTTCATTTTGGCTCCGTTGATCCAGTCTAAATGCCAGTTTCTTCCTGTCTGCAGATGGTGTTGTACTTTGTGATGGATGTGTTCAGGGACCTGCCTGGCCTACCAGGTCTGTTTGTAGCCTGCCTGTTCAGCGGAGCTCTCAGGTACTTCACTTAACTGCTACTGGCTCTCATATGCTCGGTCTGTAGTACTAGTCAGACCTCAAGGAACTGTTTCAATGCTACATTAATTTCATAGTGTTGTGGTACACCTGTAAAGGTTGTATTATGATACTGTTATGAACACACTACACCACACAATTTAGCCCCATGACATTACTCACTCAGCTTCCCTCCCTCTTGCGTTGCAGTACCATCTCATCAGCGTTTAACTCCCTAGCGACGGTAACCATGGAGGACCTCATCAAGCCTTACTGCCCGGCCATGACAGAGGCCAAAGCCACACTGCTCTCCAAAGGCCTGGGTGAGCTGCTGTTCCCTGAGTGGCCACACGGTGGCAGTGTTTATGAACAGTGGCAGGCAGTGTTCACATTTTATAGAGCTTTTCGTTAGGTTATTGCTGGAGTATAGAGTCCACAAACCAATTTTATCTTCTCTGTCCAAATACTGTGGAGGTATATATATGATTATTTTTCCTGGTGAAGGACACTGTATCAGGACTGTACTACTATGGCCCTGACCTGTCTTTCTCTTACTCTATTTTCTTCTCCCAGCATTTGCCTACGGGCTGGTGTGTCTGGTCATGGCCTACATCGCCTCTCACATGGGCTCAGTGCTGCAGGTGAGTGACTCACCCATTTCCCCTGCTGTCTTTGCTTTAGTTAATGGTTACTCCTCTACCCCACTGAATTACATTTAGCAAGTTGCACTCACCACCACCACCCCCCCCAGAGGATCACCTTCTACTATCTTAGACAGAGGCTTCATATTACATAAGAGTTAGTAAAAGATGATAAACCTTTGTTCCTCCAGGCAGCATTAAGTATCTTTGGGATGGTGGGTGGTCCTCTCCTCGGTGTCTTCTGTCTGGGAATGTTCTTCCCCTGGGCTAACTCCACAGTAAGTCAAAATACTGCCTTGTAGGCTAGCATATTAAAGTAGAGGACATATGGGTTTTTTCACTGTACAATAAAGTATATCGTAAGATTGTGATTAATGTGGTGAATTAGCGAGATCTTTCTGATTTGATCTAACTCTTCCTTCCTCTCTCTGTCCACAGGGTGCGATAGTAGGATTGGTGGCAGGCCTGGTTATGGCTTTCTGGATTGGCATTGGTAATTTTGTGTCCCGTATGGCGGTGCCCACCCTTCTGCCCCCCATCATCAACGGCACCGCTATGCCCCTTCCCGGCAACATGACCACTGCTGTCATGACCACCCTGATTACCTCGATCACCGCCAAACCAAAGTACATTGACTTCTTGTCCTCGTTAAATTGATAGCATTTGAACCAGAACAGCCGTATCAAACATAAAGCGCTTGAATTGTATCCCTCCAAAAATATTATAACTGTTTAAAGGAGGACTGCAAAAGCATGATGATATGAATCTGACCAAGTACCTGTGTTTCTCTCTCCAGGCCTACGGGTGTGCAGGCCCTGTACAATCTATCCTATTTGTGGTACAGTGCCCATAACTCTACCACTGTGGTGATAGTGGGACTGATAGTCAGCCTGTTGACTGGTCCTATGAAGGAGAAGGACCTGATCCCAGGGACGGTGTACCCTGTCCTGGGGAACCTGCTCTTCTTCCTGCCTGAATGCTACAGGGAGATGCTCTGCTGTGTCACCCCACTGCCACACAAGGTAGGCTGCAGGCATCCAAGATAGAGGATACCACCTATGAACCAGTGAAAACATACTAGTCATAACATTGTTACAGAGTAGTAATTGTGAATGCCCTTTACAGTTATTGTGATAGCCACTCGCTGTTTCTTTTCTTAATCTTTTTAAATGTAATTCAGCCCAAAGCTATCGATATGCAGCCTTACCAGATGGCTCAGAAGGAGAGCAATGGAGTGGCCCACCACAAAGAGGAGGAGAAGACTGAGGAGACGGAGAGAGAGAAGGATGAGGACGAGGAGAGAGCAACCCCTCAGCCTTCCTGCCGACTGGCTCACACGTTGCAGGAGACGGCCTTGTAGACCCCCCCCCCCCAACACACACACTCACAGCCCCCAGCCAAGCCCCAGCACTTTCACAAGCCCCCCTACTGCTCTGCTTTCTCTGCGCCAGGGGAGAGGATCCACATAGGGCTGGAGGGCAGCAGAGACCCAGTGTTCCTGGACATGACTTCCATCAAGCACCACAGGGTCAATGTGGAGGAACATGGAGTTTCACCTCTGACCCTTACTTCCTAGAGAAACTGATACACCACAAATCTCTGGTGGTTGAGAGTCAGAGCTAGAGTCCTTTGCTAGAATAAAAATAGTGCAGTAAATGCGGTTAGTGGATGGGGATCCAGGGGTATGTTGAATTCATTGGTACCTCATTAACGATGGCACTGGTCAGTTTTCCTGAACTGAAGTAACTGGAAATCAGTAGTTATGAAACTGAAGTTTTGAGAAGAGCCAAAATGTCTGAATCGAGGTGGATTCGTCGATTGAGAAATACTAATGCAACACAAGTGGCAATCATGCTCATAGCTGAGGAGAAGTCTCGTCATTGTTGGACTGAACCAAAGCCTGGACTGTGATTGTGTCATTCTGTGATTTTGTCCAATTATGATTGAAGGATTGTGGATGTACACGCGCACAATGAGTTGTTCCAATGACTGTGAAAATGGACCCAAGTCTTTCTGTTTATCGAAGAGAATCAGGTAGAGACCAGGCGGTGAAGAGAGAGGTACTTCAGATTTAACTGTCATTGCATTTAATTTTTATAGAGAAGATTAATCAGGTACGTCAGATGAACTATGAGAATATTACAAAATCTCTTACGTCCCAGTAGACAACTTAAGGCATAGTGACGGTGTTTTAGGGCCTTTTCGCATATGAAATGTGGTATCCTAGTTCGGTTTCCTGGATTGTGACAATTCTACAAAATAAATTTCTCAAGACCTGAAAATAACCGTTTCAGGATGTGATTTGCGAGACTCACATTCTACATGATGTTAGGAAGATAGCTTGTTTACAACGGGCAAAACATTTCACGCGACCCGCGCACCTGCGTCACAATACCTGGTACTCTGGTCCTGGACCTTGGACCCGCTACTCACGCAGGTCCAGGATTTGTTTGAGCCAGGGTTCATTTGCGTTTCACATGTTTTATAGCCCGAATTAGGGTACCAAACGCTCTAGGATCCGGATCATACAGAAATATGTGAAAGCGCCCTTAGTCGATAGCTTTGGTTTGTTAAGCTCCTTACGTCTGTTTGCTTGACATGGCCTTTGTTTAACGTTTGCCTTTCAAGCTGCTATAGTAAATGATTAAATACTTAGATAAGAGAGAGTTTAGATAAGGGCAACATAGTTATATAGACCAATCACCCTTATTTGCCATTAACTGGGACCACGTTTTTAGAGAGGGCAAGGTCATTGAGTCTGCACTACTTACTTCATAGAGACAACCAGACAAACTGTTGGTTAGCTAGTGACATAATTGCATGTAGAATACCATGTCCTCTCAGTCCATTCACACTGTAGATCCCATAGTTGTCATGAAGTGCCTCATTAGTAGTCTGTGTATTAAATGTAGTTCTATTAATTTGACAACTGATCAGTGTGTAATCAGGATTGTGATAAAGTAGACTAAACTGTATCGCACAGCTATAATGATTCTCCATATGTGTCTTGGATGTTTGTTAACTTTACATGCATGACCTTTGGCTCGTCCACCCCACTGCTCTAACAGAGGATATTTAGAGTGAAGGGAACAACTCTGGTTCAAACTGGAAAACTGCAGCCATTTTGATGGCACAACAGAGAACAGTACTCACAAATCTAAGAGTAGACTAATAGATTATGTTCTTTGGTTGGATCTTTTGAAGGACTTGATGTTCAATGTACCAGGGGAAATATTCCAATCATTTTAAAACAAAAAGAGTACAATGTTTTGTAATGTGTTTTAAGATCTTTGTAAGTGCCCATTTTTATCTAATGATGTAAATGTTTTGCCACCATGCAGTTGATTAACGTTTTAGGCCTAATGTGTTATTATTAAGTACATTGTGATTTTTTTTATTGGTCATTCTATGAACATGAAACCTGTAGTGCAGATGTACAATTTTTTATTGTCATTTGTCAAATGTTTAAGGTCCTTTTTGCAATCTGAAGAATTCTCTGTTCAAAATCTTCATTTTGTGCTCCTTCCATGCACTGGAATCTACCCTAACCATACTACAGAATTCAAATCAGAGTAATGGGGTAGTATTCTGTTGTGATTGTCTGGCTTATGTGTTGAGCTTGTGACTCCATATGCCCTGTTTGTCCCTCAAACAGGGGATCTACTTGTGTGTGGTTGTCTGTGTGGTTGTATCTGTAGTTGGGGACTCCAGTGACATGCCTGTCCATTTGTGTCTTACTATGGTTTGGGTTGGTATTGTTGACATAGTGACTCATTCAGCCTATACTGATTTGCTTGATACTTGTTTCCTAAGAGTGTTTTTACGTAAAAATTCTGTAGAGCCATTTTCTAACTGCCTTTTTACCTTATGGGGAATAGAGACTCTGGCTAGGGATGGGAAGTAATTTATATACCTGTATTGTGGGGCCAGATTTTATGACACTACTGACTAAAAGTCATGCTATTAGGCTTTTGACACCATTGTTGTCAATGACATACAGGCACATTTAGCATGGGCTCCTATGGCTATATTACAGTCAATGGACCGAGAAGCCCTTTTTAAATCCAGAAGTGTGATACAAGCAAGGAATGTTGTTCATTCATCCCCACTGAAAAAGACCTCTTCCCATTCAAAGCATATATAAACATTTCATGTTTTGAAAGTTCCATTTGCTACAAATGGAAATTAAGTTAATGTAGTTATATTTAATTAATATATTCTCTCTTTTGGTAATAAAAAAACTGTTGTGGACCATAGAATGTTTTGTGAATGGAAGGCAGAAGTGGTCATATAGTAGCTAGTGGTACCTGTTGTACTATTTCTCAGTGTTAGCACAACAAAGCAACCAAACATTTTCTGTGTATTGGTGCATCATGAGTTTGTTGTTAGGGTTATCCCTTCTTCTTGCTGTAACATTCACAAACAATCACCCCAATTTTGTTTTGTCCTTTTCATTGATGTCCTGTGACTGACAAAGTTTATATTTTGTTGATTAAGTTGATGTATAGAGAGAATCTATTTAATTTTCTGATAAGATAGGACAGCATTGATTCCTCTTTATACCTGAAGTTACTTGAAATGTGTATCTGTAATGCTACCCTTTAAATTAAGTGAAGCCCACCAATTTTCAGGACATAATAAATAATAATAATAATAAGCCATTTAGCAGACGCTTTTATCCAAAGCGACTTACAGTCATGCGTGCATAGATTTTTGTGTATGGGTGGTCCCGGGGATCGAACCCACTACCTTGGCGTTACAAGCGCCGTGCTCTACCAGCTGAGCTACAGAGGACCGAATTGTTGAGATGTCAACTTACGCAATGTGGGTTTAGCACTGTGTTCTAGTAAAACTGAAATACACTCTGAGCACAATCAAGACCAATTCTGTTGATTATCTTACTCTGAAGTTGGCACGGCCATCTACCTAGAAAATATGTGAACTGTAGAGAGACGTGCATATGAAGGCCAAACCAGTTGTATTGAGTTTGCTTGAATATTAAACCACTGAAAATTGCACCAGGAAACTAACTCATAGATTGAATAACATAATGTACCACCTAAAATGTAAAGTAGAGAACCTGTAAATCATGGCCTCTTAAATGACCAATCCTGAATAGCCTATATCCATAGCATCAATACCAAGTTATGAAATGTGTTTAGTTTAGAGTAAATTTAGAACGCACTTGGCCATGAGAGAGAAGCATGGCACTTGGTAATTTCAAATGATAATACATATTCTGACTCAACTATTTATTATCAATATTTGTATTCCATGAATTATTCCTAGTATGTATTCCAAAAAAACATAAGCAGTGGAGTTTGGTCAACTACACTGCTTTGGCTGTGCCTTCATTTGATCTCTGTATTGTAATACTTTTTTCATATTGTTTGATTTCATGGATGTTGATTGGCTCATCCTAGGAGCACGCTACACAGGGTCAGCTGTGATAGGTTGGAGTTGAACTCAATTTGTTCACCAAGCAGAGTGTGATCTGTGTCCTGTTCATTAAGTCAAAATGGGAGTGAACGTTTTCAAAAAAGAAAACTGAACTGAGCTTCCCTATTGGAAAAGCTCAAGCGGTACCTTTTCCGTTTGCAAATTATTTCTCTATTTTGGACCCTACCGAACATGAACTTAGTCTTCAATAGAGGCTAATTCTGTGTCTGACCATTCTAGTGGGCATTATTTCCAAACATTGGCATGTATTTGTCCTCTCAAGATTACATTTTTGAAAATTAAAATGTTTGATTGGATGATTGAAGAAGTTTCTTGAACATCAACTTGATAGAGCCCTCGCAGAGTTAGTTTTATCAGCCTTCAGTTTGAGCAAAAGAGAGCGAGGGCCTTCCACTTTGTTTATGCCTTTCCCATCCCGAGGGAGGGCCGTTATCACTGCAGTATCCTGTAGCCTTCATTCTCCCTGCTCCTTTCAGCTCCTCTCTCTCTAGAGGGTCACTGGGTCACATTCCACTCCTGTTGGGTCTCTCTCCCCATGATGTTGGAACACTATTATCCCAGCTTTGTGCCAATGACCGCAGACCATCTGTTGCCACCCCACCAAGCCCCTCATTCAGCCCCACTGCAGTCCATCCTGGTGATATGCTAATTAAAGTGGTAGACTCAGAGGGAACCCTAACCGTTGCCAAGTATGGTTGCCTCTGACTGAAACCTCAATAGTTGAAGTAAGTAGCGTTGTCTGAGCCTTGGCTTGTGCGAGCCAGAACGGTTCATAGGAGCAGGTGAGGCAGCTTGATGTACAAGTACACCCCCTGGACAGGACAGTAGTCTATCGCAGGTCCTTACCCCCAATATAGGTCCTTAATGCTCAGTGCCAAGCAGAGACGCACCGGTTCCCTTTGGTATGAGTCAGCTGGGGATTGAACTCCCAATCTGAGAGCAGACACTCAAACCACAAGGCCACTGAGTTGGTAAATAAACTTGGATTTTACACATTTTAAGCAGGAAGGAAGCTAGACAGAAGGGGATGTGGCGTTTATTAGGAACCTCTCTTAGTTACCTCTCTTGGACATCTCCCTTGATCAAGCCATCAACCTGTCTTGTATGTTAAAATGCTCTCTTTTTCTCATGGACCAAGTTGTTGTTCCTTATTCCCTACTCTCCTCTTCCGCTGCTCAGTTCCAGCTAAGCCAGGCCAACGAGGGGAAGCTGGACAGAAAGCTTCATTCATTCACTCAGTAATCAGTGTGCACTGGATATAATGAGCTGGAGATAATGAACATTGTTTCTGTATCTCCTAACATGAAGGGAGATCAGGGTTATAAGGATTTATTGGGAGAAATATCCACATTCACACACACACCTAAAGATCTATTTGCGGTTCAAGCTAAAATGGCCGTTAAATCAAGTTTGTTAGTTGATGGCCCTCACTTTGAGGACACTTGGTAGAGAAATAATACAATTGGAGAATCCATGGCCTGGCATACAGTATGGGTTTGCCATTAAAAATGAGTATGTGAGAATTCAAATGTATACGCATTCATTATATTGCCCAATGCAACAGATCCTCCCTGGCCAGTATGCTTTATCCACTGAGATCTAGACTTTAGAATAACCTTAGTTGGAATGCTGGAACGTTGGGCAGTACTGTCTGTCTAGCATTCCCACGTTCTTTCACCAAAATGTCTGCCCTCTCCTTTCCCTCCGTAACCCCTGCCTTAGTAGCACAGCTCTGGCAGGTCCAAATGAGCCATTAATATGAGAGAGAAGGAGGGGGTATCAGATCCCCCCGACAGATTTATAGAGCTAGCCTTGAACGTTGTACCGTTTCTTGTGGACCTGAGCCCATGTTGCTCAAGGGGAAGACATAACGACGACCATGCTTCTGTGGTCTCGTCCATGTTACAGCCAACAAAAGCTGTTTCTGTCTGCCTGAGCACAAATACTTGGCAATACAGTCTGTTTAGACATTAGATGTGTGTTAGTGGAGTTGAAATGATTGTGCATTGTGTTTGTCACAAGTGTATTTCTTGGTCAATATCAGAATATGAAATGTGTCTACCACTGTCTCTCCTGACGAAATGATGAAATTGCCTCATGATTATGTAACTTCTCTGGGCGATAACTCCAGCACTTTGGATTTGAAATGATACAATGACTGTGAGGTTAAAGTGCAGACTGTCAGCTTTAATTTGAAGGTCTTTTTCATCCATATCGGGTGAACCGCTTAGAAATTACAGCTTTTTGTACATAGTCCCCCCCATTTTAGGGGACCAAAAGTATTGGGACAAATTCACTTATGTGTATTAAAGTAGTAAAATGCAATGACTACATCATGCTTGTGAGACACACATTTGTTGGCTGCATCTGCTATTTGTTTTGGTTATTTCAGATTATTTTGTGCACAAAATAAATGAATGGTAAATAATGTATTGTGTCATTTTGGAGTCACTTTTAATGTAAATAAGAATATAATATGTTTCTAAACACTTCTACATTAATGTGGATACTACCATGATTACGGATAATCCTGAATGAATCGTGAATAATGATGAGTCAAAGTTAGACGCACAAATATCAACCCCCCCCCAAACAAAATGCTAACCTCCCCTGTTATTGTAATGGTGAGAGGTTAACATGTCTTGGGGGTATGATATGTGTCTAACTTTCTCACTCATCATTATTCACGATTCATTCAGGATTATCCGTAATCATGGTAGCATCCACATTAATGTAGAAGTGTTTACAAACATATTCTATTCTTATTTACAATAAAAGTGACTCAGAAATGACACAAAGTGCTGTAATTTCTAAACGGATCACCCGATATCAATGAAAATACCCTCAAATGAAAGCTGACAGTCTGCACTTTAACCTCATAGTATCATTTCAAATCCAAAGTGCTAGAGTACAGAGCCTAAAAAACAAAACATTTGTCACTGTCCCAATACTTTTGGAGTTCACTGTATATCAGATAGCTCAAACAAAGCCATAACATGATTTCAATATGTTATTTACATCAATTTAGCTAAGTTTGTCTGCTGTTCAAATACATTTTTACCCTAAAGCAGTCATTATAGCACAGATATGGACTAGTACTCAGGGCTCCACAGCTGAATGCATGGTTGCCAAAAATTCTCACAACAATCCTCCCTTTCTGTTAATCTGTCCGTCCATTCCCTCCCACCCCCAACACAACTAGAACACTAAAAATGAAACAAATCCAGGAGATCAACTTCAATAGGGACCACAATAGAAATAAGTCCCCGACTTTATTGTGCAGTCCCGGTCACTTTGAAAAATCTTTGTGTATATATGTTTTTTTTTTACTGACAAATAAAATCAATCAATCAATCCAAACTGTGCAGCGGCCAATTGCTGAATGGAAAGAGACATCTGTTACAAAACACCCAAAAGTTGAATGACATTCAGAGATTGTCAAGCCAAGCCTTCAAATCTGGGGAATCCTACAAGGTAAAGTGGGGAATTTTCTGTTTGTCGAGATTTATATAGTCTATTTATTGTATTGAAAACGGAAACTATGATATTGAAGTGGCCGAAGTCGGTATGCTTTGTTTATTAGTTGTGTGGTGCGTTGGCACAGAAACCTGTTGGTGGAAAATTCTTTGCATATATTTTATATAATTATAATTATGGCATCAAAATGTTTAAAATCTGATTTCCCCCTAGCTGATCATTGTCTGCAGCCGGCTCTGATCATAGTGTAATGAAACTGGCAGGGAGAATGAGCTCGTCTGTGGTGGTCAGTGAAACCTCAACCTTCTGGCCCATAGTCCCACGTGGCATCGACTGTGCCACAAAAGCATGCTAAAGTGGCAATATCTATGTTTATAAACACAGGGTAGCTACAGTTATTGTTATTTGTGGTCGTAATAATCATTTAGAGTTAATTCTACGAGGGGGGAGGGTGTTCAATTTATTTTACAGTACAAGGGGAGGGTCATGTGAAAATATTTTGTACGTTTGGGAGGGGGGTGCATTTATTTTTTATGACACCTTGAGTTGGACCAGCCCCTCTCCCCAGTAAATGTAGATCTGTCCCTAACAAATATTTCACACACTTTTCTCCAAAGTAGTGATTTATGTTTTATGCTTCTGTAATAAGAGTGATTTCATGTGCTAATCAAAGCGATCCTTTGATTTTGGTGTATTTGATTTTTATCTTGACATCATTGTAGGTGTTTCCGTGTTTAGCACATACATTACATTGCCATTCGCTGCAGTTTCATAAGCATCACAGTTGGATATATTGTATTTCACCGCTCCTAGTCCTAAACGGATCGGTCCATGTCGACCTCTGGGGTAGGGGTCAGTGGATGTGTCTCCTCCTCCCCTGACGCTGGCGTCTGATTGGCTGACAGCAGTTCTCCCACACTCCCACAGTACAGCAAGGAGCGCATCGGCCACTTCTGTCAGGACAGGAAACATGTTCAACTTTAGTCTGTATGATTGTTATAAGTCATACCAAATTCAAACAACTCTTTGTGAATGTCATATAGATAATGTAAGAAGTAGTGATGCCTACTGTGGACATCCTACTACACTGCTGTTACACTACAATTCATGTCTGATTTTAACTGAACATCTGGACAGATCGGGGTTATAAGCTATGATAACCAAGGAACGAAAAAGATAAGCACCCAGGTAGTTTGATGTCACCAACCTTGACTGGGTGGAGGTATCCCCCTGCCCTGGGGGGCAGTGTGAGTTCAGAGAGAGCCCCGCCCTGGTCCAGGGTCTCAGTAAGGTGGGCGATGTAGTCAGTGGCCAGGACCAGGACGTCCAGCTTGGAGAGCTTGGTGTCACGGGGGACAGAGGGCAGGGCTGCCTGCAGGCTGTGGAAAGCCTGGCGGAGGTTACGCACACGGCTCCTCTCCCTGGCCGCGTTCTCTGGGGAGTGCTGGGACTTCATAGCCCTGCTGGGCTGCACCCCGTCACACACCCAGACCTCACCTGGACCACGCAGGAGGAACACAAACACTTATGCTTCATTACATTTACGTGGTATACGACACTAAATTCATATGGCGATAGTGAGACAATAATGACATACCAATTAATGTAAAATTAAAGTGCCAGACTACTATAAATTCAGCTTCCATACCACAAGATCTGACATGTGTGAAGTTGATTCTGCAAATATTTAACGTGAAGGGTCTAAATATTGTCCAGATATCAACAATGAAAGAGTTCAGTAATTCAGAAATAATTCACAATTTCATTTCGTAGCGCTACTTAACATAAATAAAAGCTGAGATGACCTTCCAAATATTTAATTACTTTCAAGCTATAACACTGAAGTGCCCACGGATCTACTGTATTCACTCCAGGTTCTGTAGAGATTTAACTCACCCACTTCTTAGGATCCCTACGTATGGACTGTCTGTGTCCAGGCTGCGGTGCCCTCAGACTGTCCACCTAACTGAAGACCAACCAGCTCCAGACACCCTACTGAAGACCAACAGAGACCCAGAGCTCGCCCGCTTCTGACCGCAGTTCCCCAGCCCCTCTAACAATCTCCAGTCACAGCTTCTCCGCTGCACATCGTGGTCCTATGTCCTCCCTCTCCAACCATTACTCTCTTTTTCCGTCTCTCTTTCCCTCCCCTTGCCTTATCTGGTGAGGTCATGTGGGGATCTTCAAGCGGCCCTCATCTCCCCCACCCACACCTCCCCCGGGTGTGCTCTGCCAAGGGGAGCAGCCTCAGAGTGGTGGGGTGTCCCAGGGCAGGACGCAGGGCTTGGGAAACACCAGGGCCTGGCAGCAGCTGGAGGAACCTCTGGTCTCCCTGCCATGATGGAGAACTAGGAGGATGGTACTGCACTTGATACCATCATCATACAATTTTGGGGTATTAAACCATGAATGGGGACCAAGGCCACATATCTTAGGTGTGACCCCCAAGACATTAGCAGAAAGACAGAACAATAATTTAATTTAAATGTTTATTAATATAATTTGTCCCAAAAATATATATAGATCAGGAGATTAGTGTCTGAAATAAATACAGTGCTATTTATGGAATGCTATAACATTGTAAATAACTTGAGTAAATAATAACAGAACAGGTGATCAGAATAAAATACACATTTCAGTCTCTGGCAACTATTGCAAAAAATAATTAAAAAAACATATCACCTGAAATGTTATGCATCATTTGATAACCACTCGGGGCTAGACTATGCCAGTAATCTAAACGTATAACTGCCTGTGCTCTCCTGCTTAACAATGATTCAGGAACAACCTAAACTAAATTGTCTTCTATTCACTCTTATCAACTGGTCCATGGATAATTTCCTAACTAGAGAGTAAGTTGTTGAACACTTATCTTCCACACCTCATTGGCAGTAGTCATTGGGAGGCTTTACTGTATTACATTAGCCTGGTCCCAGATCTGTTTGTGCAGTCTTGCCACCTCATATCATTCCTCCAGGACTTCATCTGGAGTTTTTGCGATATTTGCGGTAAAAAATGCTTGATTTTGCTGCAGCAATTCTGACATTTTGCAATGATTTTGTCCAATTTGTCACGGAAATGCGCTGACGAGGGGAAAAGTTTGTTGACGTGTGGCTTGATTTAAATATATTATGCGGCAAACGTGCGGTGATTGGTTGAAATTGCAAGCTCTCTTTTTGTGCTGCGGTGATGGGTCAGATTTATGCGATGATAATATTGCAATGATTTTACTGTTTTAAGCAGAAATAGTGCGGTGATTGGTCAAATTTGCAAGCCCTCGCATAATATAGAGTTGTGATCGCAGAATCCTGGACGGACTGTCATATGGGCATTGTCATGCCAAAACAGCACAAACAGATCTGTGACATGGCTAGTATTATTTGCTGATGTGTGTAAAAAGGCAGCTATGGCAGAGGTTTCTCTCTCTATGGGCTTATCAGTAAGTAGCTTCTGGCACATGTCAGTGCTATCATAATACCAGTGCTTGCTGACCTAGCATCTGGTGCTGTTTCGTAAACAGGAAAGGCAGATGTGCAGAGCGGCAATCACTTCCTCCTCTTCTCCTGCATCTTGGTGAAGTTCTGGATGTCCTGGGCCATGAGTTCTGGCTCCTCCATGGCGGCGAAGTGTCCTCCTCGGGCCATGGGCGTGAAGGTCTTCAGCTCGCGGTATTTCTGCTGCACCCACAGCTTGGGGGTGTGCATCAGCTCGTTGGGGAAGCAGGCGAAACCGGTGGGCACGTGCACTGGCATCCTGGGTAGAGAAGGAGTGAATAAGTGCATTAGTTTACTGAAACATACAATCTGTTTGTCCTTTCTACTTTAACAGCATGACTTACCAGGATAAAGTTATTCTGAAGGTGGAGCTCCTCGTGCTAGCTAGACTATTACATAGCACATACATACACTTGAAGTCAGAAGTTTACATACACCTTAGCCAAATATATTTAAAAACTCAGTTTTTCACAATTCCTGACATTTAATCCTAGTAAATATTCCCTGTCTTAGGTCAGTTAGGATCACCACTTTATTTTAAGAATGTGAAATGTCAGAATAATTATAGAGAGAATGATTTATTTAAGCTTTTATTTCTTTCATCACATTCCCAGTGGGTCAGAAGTTTACATACACTCAATTAGTATTTGGTAGCATTGCCTTTAAATTGTTTAACTTGGGTCAAACATTTCGGGGAGCTTTCCACAAGCTTACCACAATAAGTTGGGGGAATTTTGGCCCATTTCTCCTGACAGAGCTGGTGTAACGGAGTCAGGTTTGTAGGCCTCCTTGCTCGCACAAGCTTTTTCAGTTCTGCCCACAAATGTTCTATAGGATTGAGGTCAGGGATTTGTGATGGCCACTCCAATACCTTGACTTTGTTGTCCTGTAAGCCATTTTGCCACAACTTTGGAAGTATGATTGGGGTCATTGTCCATTTGGAAGACCCATTTGCGACCAAGCTTTAACTTCCTGACTGATGTCTTGAGATGTTGCTTCAATATATCCACATAATTTTCCTTCCTCATGATGCCATCTATTTTGTGAAGTGCACCAGTCCCTCCTGCAGCAAAGCACCCCCACAGCATGATGCTGCCACCCCCGTACTTCACGGTTGGGATGGTGTTCTTCGGCTTGCAAGCCACCCCTTTTTCCTCAGAACATAACGATGGTCATTATGGCCAAACAGTTATATTTTTGTTTCATCAGACCAGAGGACATTTCTCCAAAAAGTACGATCTTTGTCCCCATGTGCAGTTGCAAACCGTATTCTGGCTTTTTTATGGAGGTTTTGGAGCAGTGGCTTCTTCCTTGCTGAGCGGCCTTTCAGGTTATGTCGATATAGGACTCGTTTTATTGTGGATATACAGTGGGGAGAACAAGTATTTGATACACTGCCGATTTTGCAGGTTTTCCTACTTACAAAGCATGTAGAGGTCTGTAATTTCATCAAAAATCCAGAAAATCAAATTTTTAAGTAATTAATTTGCATTTTATTGCATGACATAAGTATTTGATCACCTACCAACCAGTAAGAATTCCGGCTCTCACAGACCTGTTAGTTTTTCTTTAAAAAGCCCTCCTGTTCTCCACCTGTATTAACTGCACCTGTTTGAACTCGTTACCTGTATAAAAGACACCCGTCCACACACTCAATCAAACAGACTCCAACCTCTCCACAATGGCCAAGACCTGAGAGCTGTGTAAGGACATCAGGGATAAATTTGTAGACCTGCACAAGGCTGGGATGGGCTACAGGACAATAGGCAAGCAGCTTGGTGAGAAGGCAACAACTGTTGGCGAAATTATTAGAAAATGGAAGAAGTTCAAGATCACCCTCGGTCTGGGGCTCCATGCAAGATCTCACCTCGTGGGGCATCAATGATCATGAGGAAGGTGAGGGATCAGCCCAGAACTACACGGCAGGACCTGGTCAATGACCCGAAGAGAGCTGGGACCACAGTCTCAAAGAAAACCATTAGTAATACACTACGCCGTCATGGATTAAAATCCTGCAACGCACGCAAGGTCCCCCTGCTCAAGCCAGCGCATGTCCAGGCCCGTCTGAAGTTTGCCAATGACCATCTGGATGATCCAGAGGAGGAATGGGAGAAGGTCATGTGGTCTGATGAGACAAATATAGAGCTTTTTGGTCTAAACTCCACTCGCCGTGTTTGGAGGAAGAAGAAGGATGAGTACAACCCCAAGAACACCATCCCAACCGTGAAGCATGGAGGTGGAAACATCATTCTTTGGGGATGCTTTTCTGCAAAGGGGACAGGACGACTGCACCGTATTGAGGGGAGGATGGATGGGGCCATGTATCGCGAGATCTTGGCCAACAACCTCCTTCCCTCAGTAAGAGCATTGAAGATGGGTCGTGGCTGGGTCTTCCAGCATGACAACGACCCGAAACACACAGCCAGGGCAACTAAGGAGTGGCTCCGTAAGAAGCATCTCAAGGTCCTGGAGTGGCCTAGCCAGTCTCCAGACCTGAACCCAATAGAAAATCTTTGGAGGGAGCTGAAAGTCCGTATTGCCCAGCGACAGCCCCGAAACCTGAAGGATCTGGAGAAGGTCTGTATGGAGGAGTGGGCCAAAATCCCTGCTGCAGTGTGTGCAAACCTGGTCAAGACCTACAGGAAACGTATGATCTCTGTAATTGCAAACAAAGGTTTCTGTACCAAATATTAAGTTCTGCTTTTCTGATGTATCAAATACTTATGTCATGCAATAAAATGCAAATTAATTACTTAAAAATCATACAATGTGATTTTCTGGATTTTTGTTTTAGATTCCGTCTCTCACAGTTGAAGTGTACCTATGATAAAACATTACAGACCTCTACATGCTTTGTAAGTAGGAAAACCTGCAAAATCGGCAGTGTATCAAATACTTGTTCTCCCCACTGTAGATACTTTTGTACCTGTTTCCTCCAGCATCTTCACAAGGTCCTTTGCTGTTGTTAAAACAAGTTTTAATGACTCCTACCTAAGTGTATGTAAACTTCGACTTCAACTGTAGATATTACATAGCAACATTCCACTGACTTTGAGTGTGGCTGGTCAAGACCCTTGCTGAAGTTCTCCTTGTAGAAGCGCATGGAGGAGATGATGCAGCCAGATGTCCAGTAGATCATCACGTTGGTCAGCAGGTCATCCATACTGAACTTCCTGCAAGGTAAGAGGTGCTAAAAAACAAATGCCATAAAAATGGACATGGTAATTTGACAAAGAAGCCTTTGAATTCTAACCAACTATCCTATTCTACATCAAAGGCTGTGGTTCAGGTCTAAGACGTTCTACCTCGTAAGTCCTCCATCATCCAGGTTCCTGAAGTCATGGTCAGTCCAGGTGGAAAACTTCTCCAAGATATAGGCAGCAAGACCCACTGGAGAATCATTCAACCCTCGACCTATAGAAAGAGATCAGACACACACATAATCAGATATACAGTGGGGGAAAAAAGTATTTAGTCAGCCACCAATTGTGCAAGTTCTCCCACTTAACAAGATGAGAGAGGCCTGTAATTTTCATCATAGGTACACGTCAACTATGACAGACAAATTGAGGAAAAAAAATCCAGAAAATCACATTGTAGGATTTTTTGTGAATTTATTTGCAAATTATGGTGGAAAATAAGTATTTGGTCACCTACAAACAAGCAAGATTTCTGGCTCTCACAGACCTGTAACTTCTTCTTTAAGAGGCTCCTCTGTCCTCCACTAGTTACCTGTATTAATGGCACCTGTTTGAACTTGTTATCAGTATAAAAGACACCTGTCCACAACCTCAAACTCACACTCCAAACTCCACTATGGCCAAGACCAAAGAGCTGTCAAAGGACACCAGAAACAAAATTGTAGACCTGCACCAGGCTGGGAAGACTGAATCTGCAATAGGTAAGCAGCTTGGTTTGAAGAAATCAACTGTGGGAGCAATTATTAGGAAATGGAAGACATACAAGTCCACTGATAATCTCCCTCGATCTGAGGCTCCACGCAAGATCTCACCCCGTGGGGTCAAAATGATCACAAGAACGGTGAGCAAAAATCCCAGAACCACACGGGGGGACCTAGTGAATGACCTGCAGAGAGCTGGGACCAAAGTAACAAAGCCTACCATCAGTAACACACTACGCCGCCAGGGACTCAAATCCTGCAGTGCGAGACGTGTCCCCCTGCTTAAGCCAGTACATGTCCAGGCCCGTCTGAAGTTTGCTAGAGTGCATTTGGATGATCCAGAAGAGGATTGGGAGAATGTCATATGGTCAGATCAAACCAAAATATAACTTTTTGGTAAAAACTCAACTCGTTGTGTTTGGAGGACAAAGAATGCTGAGTTGCATCCAAAGAACACCATACCTACTGTGAAGCATGGGGGTGGAAACATCATGCTTTGGGGCTGTTTTTCTGCAAAGGGACCAGGACGACTGATCCGTGTAAAGGAAAGAATGAATGGGGCCATGTATCGTGGGATTTTGAGTGAAAACCTCCTTCCATCAGCAAGGGCATTGAAGATGAAACGTGGCTGGGTCTTTCAGCATGACAATGATCCCAAACACACCGCCCAGGCAACAAAGGAGTGGCTTCGTAAGAAGCATTTCAAGGTCCTGGAGTGGCCTAGCCAGTCTCCAGATCTCAACCCCATAGAAAATCTTTGGAGGGAGTTGAAAGTCCGTGTTGCCCAGCGACAGCCCCAAAACATCACTGCTCCAGAGGAGATCTGCATGGAGGAATGGGCCAAAATACCAGCAACAGTGTGTGAAAAACTTGTGAAGACTTACAGAAAACGTTTCACCTGTGTCATTGCCAACAAAGGGTATATAACAAAGTATTGAGAAACTTTTGTTATTGACCAAATACTTATTTTCCACCATAATTTGCAAATAAATTCATAAAAAATCCTACAATGTGATTTTCTGGATTTTATTTTCTCATTTTGTCTGTCATAGTTGACGTGTACCTATGATGAAAATTACAGGTCTCTCTCATCTTTTTAAGTGGGGGAACTTGCACAATTGGTGGCTGACTAAATACTTTTTTTCCCCACTGTATGATACAGCACAGTTTCTTATTCCTGGTCCTGGTCTATATAGAAGCAGCAGTTAAAGCGTTGTGTAACCCAGAACGCTTCCCCTTCAAAACTGGTTCCATCTCTTACCCACAGTGTCAGGCTTGGTGGCCTGGATGTGCATGTATCCTGACTCCTTGACAGACTCCACCACTAGGTTCTGCACAACGGGGTAGATGCGCTGGATGTCATGCTCGTTGAAGCCAAACAGCTTGGGGAAACTGCGGCCCAGCATTATAGACAGAACCATGGGCAGGCCCGGCTTGGAGGGGGGAGCAAAGTTGAGATGCAAGCCTTTGATTATTCTGGGGTGACAAAAACAGAGAGGAGAGATGAAGTACAACAGATATTGAATCTGAGTCAAACTGAAGCTTTTAAAAAATGTATTTGTATTTATTTAACCTTTATTTAACCAGGTAAGCCAGTTGAGAACAAGTTCTCATTTACAACTGTGATCTGGCCAAGATAAAGCAAAGCAGTGCGATAAAAAACAACAACACAGAGTTACATATGGGATAAACAAAAGCGTACAGTTAATAACACAATAGAAAATCTATATACAGTGTGTGCAAATGTAGTAAGTTACGGAGGTAAGGCAATAAATAGGCCATAGTGCAAAATAATTACAATTTAGTATTAACACTGGAATGATAGATGTGCAGAAGATTATGTGCAAATAGAGATACTGGGGTGCAAATTAGCAAAATAAATAACAATATGGGGATGAGGTAGTTGGGTGGGCTAATTACAGATGGGCTGTGTACAGGTGCAGTGATCGGTAAGCTGCTCTGACAACTGATGATTAAAGTTAGTGAGGGAGATAAGAGTCTCCAGCTTCAGAGATTTTTGCAGTTCATTCCAGTCATTGGCAGCAGAGAACTGGAAGGAATGGCGGCCAAAGGCGGTGTTGGCTTTGGGGATGACCAGTGAGATATACCTGCTGGAGCGCATACTACGGGTGGGTGTTGCTATGGTGACCAATGAGCTAAGATAAGGCAGGGATTTGCCTAGCAGTGATTTATAGATGACCTGGAGCTAGAGGGCCAGCCAACGAGAGCGTACAGGTCACAATGGTGGGTAGTATATGGGGCTTTGGTGACAAAACGGATGGCACTGTGATAGACTAAATCCAATTTGCTGAGTAGAGTGTTGGAGGCTATTTTGTAAATGACATCGCCGAAGTCAAGGATCGGTAGGATAGTCCGTTTTACGAGGGCATGTTTGGCAGCATGAGTGAAGGAGGCTTTGTTGCGAAATAGGAAGCCGATTCTAGATTTAACTTTGGATTGGAGATGCTTAATGTTTACCCAGACACCTAGGTATTTGTAGTCGTCCACATATTCTAAGTCAGACCTGCCGAGAGTAGTAATTCTAGGTCGGGCAGGCGGGTGCAAGCAGCGTTCGATTGAAGAGCATGCATTTAGTTTTACTAGCGTTTAAGAGCAGTTGGAGGCTACGGAAGGAGTGCTGTATGGCATTGAAGCTCGTTTGGAGGTTTGTTAACACAGTGTCCAATGAAGGGCCAGATGTATACAAAATGGTGTCGTCTGCGTAGAGGTGGATCTGAGAGTCACCAGCAGCAAGAGCGACATCATTGATGTACACAGAGAATAGAGCCGCCCGAGAATTGAACCCTGTGGCACCCCCATAGAGACTGCCAGAGGTCCAGACAACAGGGCCTCCGATTTGACACATTGAACTCTATCTGAGAAGTAGTTGGTGAACCAGGCGAGGCAGTCATTTGAAAAACCAAGGCTATTTAGTCTGCCAATAAGAATGCGGTGATTGACGGAGTCGAAAGCCTTGGCCAGGTCGATGAAGACGGCTGCACAGTACTGTCTTTTATCGATCGCGGTTATAATATCGTTTAGGACCTTGAGCGTGGCTGAGGTGCACCCATGACCAGCTCGGAAACCAGATTGCATAGCGGAAAAGGTACGGTGGGATTCGAAATGGTCGGTGATCTGTTTGTTAACTTGGCTTTCAAATACTTTCGAAAGGCAGGGCAGGATGGATATACAGTGGGGAGAACAAGTATTTGATACACTGCCGATTTTGCAGGTTTTCCTACTTACAAAGCATGTAGAGGTCTGTAATTTTTATCATAGGTACACTTCAACTGTGAGAGACGGAATCTAAAACGAAAATCACATTGTATGATTTTTAAGTAATTAATTTGCATTTTATTGCATGACATAAGTATTTGATCACCTACCAACCAGTAAGAATTCCGGCTCTCACAGACCTGTTAGTTTTTCTTTAAGAAGCCCTCCTGTTCTCCACTCATTACCTGTATTAACTGTACCTGTTTGAACTCGTTACCTGTATAAAAAGACACCTGTCCACACACTCAAACAGACTCCAACCTCTCCACAATGGCCAAGACCAGAGAGCTGTGTAAGGACATCAGGGATAAAATTGTAGACCTGCACAAGGCTGGGATGGGCTACAGGACAATAGGCAAGCAGCTTGGTGAGAAGGCAACAACTGTTGGCGAAATTATTAGAAAATGGAAGAAGTTCAAGATGACGGTCAATCACCCTCGGTCTGGGGCTCCATGCAAGATCTCACCTCGTGGGGCATCAATGATCATGAGGAAGGTGAGGGATCAGCCCAGAACTACACGGCAGGACCTGGTCAATGACCTGAAGAGAGCTGGGACCACAGTCTCAAAGAAAACCATTAGTAACACACTACGCCGTCATGGATTAAAATCCTGCAGCGCACGCAAGGTCCCCCTGCTCAAGTCAACGCATGTCCAGGCCCGTCTGAAGTTTGCCAATGACCATCTGGATGATCCAGAGGAGGAATGGGAGAAGGTCATGTGGTCTGATGAGACAAATATAGAGCTTTTTGGTCTAAACTCCACTCGCCGTGTTTGGAGGAAGAAGAAGGATGAGTACAACCCCAAGAACACCATCCCAACCGTGAAGCTTGGAGGTGGAAACATCATTCTTCGGGGATGTTTTTCTGCAAAGGGGACAGGACGACTGCACCGTATTGAGGGGAGGATGGATGGGGCCATGTATCGCGAGATCTTGGCCAACAACCTCCTTCCCTCAGTAAGAGCATTGAAGATGGGTCGTGGCTGGGTCTTCCAGCATGACAACGACCCGAAACACACAGCCAGGGCAACTAAGGAGTGGCTCCGTAAGAAGCATCTCAAGGTCCTGGAGTGGCCTAGCCAGTCTCCAGACCTGAACCCAATAGAAAATCTTTGGAGGGAGCTGAAAGTCCGTATTGCCCAGCGACAGCCCCGAAACCTGAAGGATCTGGAAAAGGTCTGTATGTAGGAGAGGGCCAAAATCCCTGCTGCAGTGTGTGCAAACCTGGTCAAGACCTACAGGAAACGTATGATCTCTGTAATTGCAAACAAAGGTTTCTGTACCAAATATTAAGTTCTGCTTTTCTGATGTATTAAATACTTATGTCATGCAATAAAATGCAAATTAATTACTTAAAAATCATACAATGTGATTTTCTGGATTTTTGTTTTAGATTCTGTCTCTCACAGTTGAAGTGTACCTATGATAAAAATTACAGACCTCTACATGCTTTGTAAGTAGGAAAACCTGCAAAATCAGCAGTGTATCAAATACTTGTTCTCCCCACTGTAGGTCTGTAACAGTTTGGATCTAGAGTGTCACCCCCTTTGAAGAGGGGGATGACCGCGGCAGCTTTCCAAATTCTGGGGATCTCAGACGATACGAAAGAGAGGTTGAATAGGGGTTGCGACAATTTCTGCGGCTAATTTTAGAAAGATTGTCTAGCCCAGCTGATTTGTTGGGGTCCAGATTTTGCAGCTCTATCAGAACATCAGCTATCTGAATTTGGGTGAAGGAGAAGCGGGGCGGGGAATGGGCAAGTTGCAGTGGAGGGTGCAGAGCTGGTGGCCGGGGTAGGGGTAGCCAGGTGGAAAGCATGGCCAGCCGTAGCAAAATGCATGTTGAAATTTTCGATTATCGTAGATTTATCGGTAGTGAAAGTGTTTCCTAGCATCGGTGCAGTGGGCAGCTGGGAAGAGGTGCTCTTATTCTCCATGGACTTTACAGTGTCCCAAAACCTTTTGGAGTTAGTGCTACAGGATGCACATTTCTGTTTGAAAAAGCTAGCCTTTGCTTTCCTAACTGATTGTGTATATTGGTTCCTGACTTCCCTGAAAAGTTGCATATCACGGGGGCTGTTCGATGCTAATGCAGTACGCCACAGGATGTTTTTGTGCTGGTCAAGGGCAGTCAAGTCTGGGGTGAACCAGGGGCTATATCTGTTCTTAGTTCTGCATTTTTTGAATGGGGCAAGCTTATTTAAGATGGAGAGGAAAGCACTTTTAAAGAACAACCAGGCATCCTCTACTGACAGAATGAGGTCAATATCCATCCAGGATACCCGGGCCAGGTCAATTAGAAAGGCCTGCTCGCTGAAGTGTTTTAGGGAGCGTTTGACAGTGATGAGGGGTGGTCGTTTGACCGCGGACCCATTACGGACACAGGCAATGAGGCAGTGATCGCTGAGATCCTGGTTGAAGACAGCGGAGATGTATTTAGAGGGTAAATTAGTCAGGATGAGTCCCCATGTTATCGAATTTAGGGTTGTACCTGGTAGGTTCCTTGATAATTTGTGTGAGATTGAGGGCATCTAGTTTAGATTATAGGATGGCCGGGGTGTTAAGCATATCCCAGTTTAGGTCACCAAGCAATATGAACTCTGAGGATAGATGGGGGGCAATCAATTCACATATGGTGTCCAGGGCACAACTGGGGGCTGAGGGGGGTCTGTAGCAAGCGGCAACAGTGAGAGACTTATTTCTGGAAAGGTGGATTTGTAGAAGTAGAAGCTCAAACAGTTTGGGCACAGACCTGGATAGTATGATAGAGCTCTGCAGGCTATCTCTACAGTAGATTGCAACTCCGCCCCCTTTGGCAGTTCTATCTAGACGGAAAATGTTGTAGTTGGGAATGGAAATGTCTGAATCTTTGGTGGCCTTCCTAAGCCAGGATTCAGACACTGCTAGAACATCAGGGTTGGCGGAGTGTGTTAACGCAGTGAATAACTCAAACTTAGGGAGGAGGCTTCTGATGTTAACATGCAAGAAACCAAGGCTTTTACGGTTACAGAAGTCAACAAATGATAGCGCCTGGGGAGTAGGAGTGATACTGGGGGCTACAGGGCCTGGGTTAACCTCTACATCACCAGAGGAACAGAGGAGGAATAGAATAAGGATACGGCTAAAGGCTTTAAGAACTGGTCTTCTAGTGCGTTCGGTACAGAGAATAAAAGGGGCAGATTTCCGGGCTTTGTAGAATAGATTCAGGGCATTATGTACAGACAAGGATATGGAAGGATATGAGTACAGTGGAGGTAAACCTAAGCGTTGGGTAACGATGAAAGAGATAGCATCACTGGAGGCACCGATTGAGCCGGTCTCCACGTGTGTGGGGGGTGGGACAAAGGAGCTATCTGAGGCATGTTGAGCGGGACTGGGGGCTCTACATTGAAAAAGTACAGTAAGAACTAACCGAAACAGCAATAGGCAAGGCATATTGACATGGGAGAGAGGCATAAAGCAATCACAGGTGTTATTCGAGAGAGCTAAGACAACAGCTGGTAATCGCGACAAAAGTTTGAGCTGAGGCTAAACAGATAAACAGGATGGGGTATCGTATAAAGGAACAGTCCAGCAGGCATCAGCTGTGTAGCTGAGTGATAATAAGGTCCAGTGAACAGCAATAGGTGAGTCCGGGAGCAGTTCAGTGGCTGCTACGGCACAGGCGAGCAGGAGGCACGGCTGTTGATTGCGTGTGCTAGCGGGCCGGGGCTAGCAGATGGATCTTCGTGGTCGTCAACGGGAAGCCTGTTGAAACCACATCAGACGATTACGTCGGCAGACCAGTCGTGATGGATCGGCGGGGCTCCGTGTCAACACTAGGAGGTCCCGTCCAGTTGACAGAGAGGTAGATAGCCGGGAGATGGGCCTGGCTTGAGGCTAGCTCAAGGCTAACTGGGGCTTGCTTCGGGACAGTGGTGATTAGCCAACAACAACAACAGCCATTCGGTTGCAGCTAGCTAGTTGCGATGATCCAGTGTTAAGGTCCAGTGATTCAGTGATTCCGGCAGAAAATCCGATATGCTCTGGCTCGATAGCGCGATGTGCAGACTGGCCGATAATTGTCCAGGCTAGAGCTGGCTGGTAGGTAGTGCAGGCCACGGACAATGGTGAAGACCGCTAACGGTGGCTTATAGCAAGTAGCTAGTTAGCTGGCTAGTTTCAGCAGGAGTTTCTAGATAAAAAGTTGTTGTATAAAGACATAATAGAATCCGTTCCAGATTGGGTGAGGCGGATTGCAGGAAAGTATATTTAGTTAAAGGATGGAAAGTGATATTGAGAAATATATACGAAAAATAAAAAAAATAAAAAAAACTGGCTATTTACATGAGGACACTACAGAAAACAAGACCGCACTGCTACGCCATCTTGGACCAATTTTGACTTCATATCATTCACTGATGAGAACATTTAACTCATAAAACATTATCATACATTCTAAATACCATAAATAAGGAGGCAAACATAATATTGACTATGTCTCCCATGGCTTAAGCTAAGATCTATCTGTCTATCTATCTGTGTGTCTGTCTGTCTTACTTGGGCTCCAGCTGGGCCATGTTGGTGGTGATGATCCATCCCCAGTCTCCTCCATGAGCATAGAACTGTTGGAAGCCCAGTCTCTTCATCAGCTTGTGGAACACACGGGCCGCACACACCGAGTCAAAACCTGCAACGTAAACAGAATCATTCATTAGAGAAAACAAATATAAAGTCACTGAATATAACGTTCATCTGGCAGACATGCTTTGTTAGATTCAATGGGCTAGGCATTTATGTGAGCCTTGACCCCAGCCAGGCTTCTAACCATTTACCTTTCTTATGTGGAGCCTCAGAGAAGCCGTACCCAGGGATGGAAGGACACACCACCTCAAACACGATGTCGTCTGGGTTGGAGGGTTCAGTCAGGAGGGGTATCATCCTGTAGAACTCGTAGAAAGAGCCTGGCCAGCCGTGCACCATGAGCAGAGGCACAGCAGTCACGCCCTCAGGGAGGTTCTTGGGCCGCACATGGACGTAGTGGACGTCAATGCCTGATACATAGTTCAGAGGATGCTTGAATGAAACATAAGCCATTTCCTGGTGACTCAAATTGTTTGTTTTTTGTGTGTGCAAAGTTTCACGTAGAATTAGAGTTATGTTGTATTTACTGGCAGCCAATAGATCTGCTTGTTCAGTTCCATCTTATTCTATACATAACTGATCAATCTCTACACACCATCTCACCTTCGATGTTAGTTTTGTAATGTGGGTATTTGTTCAGTTTCTCCACCTGTCTCCTCCAGTCAAAGTCATGTCTCCAGTAGGTGACCACCTTCTGCAGATAGTGGGAGTTGAAGCCGTAGTTGAACTGGCTGTCCTCTAGAGAGGGGAAGGATCGGGTCTGGTCTATTCTCCTGTACAGGTCCTGGGTGGAGCATTGAGTATGAGTTATTTTTTTTTATTTCACCTTTATTTAACCAGGTAAGCCAGTTGAGAACAAGTTCTCATTTACAACTGCGACCTGGCCAAGATAAAGCATAGTAGTGCGATAAAAACAACAACACAGAGTTACATATGGGGTAAAAAAAACATTAAGTCAAAAAAAAAATACAACAGAAAATATATATACAGTGTGGGCAAATGTAGCAAGTTATGGAGGTAAGGCAATAAATAGGCTATAGTGCAAAATAATTACAATTAGTATTAACACTGGAATTCTAGATGTGCAAGAGATTATGTGCAAATAGAGATACTGGGGTGCAAAAGAGCAAAATAAATAACAATATAGGGATGAGGTAGTTGGGTGGGCTAATTTCAGATGGGCTGTGTACAGGTGCAGTGATCGGTAAGGTGCTCTGACAACTGATGCTTAAAGTTAGTGAGGGAGATAAGAGTCTCCAGCTTGAGAGATTTTTGCAATTCGTTCCAGTCATTGGCAGCAGAGAACTGGAAGGAATGGCGGCCAAAGGAGGTGTTGGCTTTGGGAATGACCAGTGAGATATACCTGCTGGAGCGCAGACTACGGGTGGGTGCTGCTATGGTGACCAATGAGCTAAGATAAGGCGGGGATTTGCCTAGCAGTGATTTATAGATGGCCTGGAGCTCAACTAATCTTCAACTAATCAACTAAAGACTGTTGCATAAGCCTTAACTCTCTAAGCTTGGACCTCCTCTAGGCCTATAATCCCCCATCTCACCTCCAACTCTTCATCATCCGTCCGGACTGTGTAGTGGCGAATGCTGAGATCTTCTTCCCCGTCCATGGGAGTCCCCTCCCCCCACCAGCCATCCTCACTCTTCAGCTGATGCCTCTTACTCCTCTGCACCAGGAAGTAGATCACTCCTCCCATCACCAGGGCTAACAGAACCTCTGCAAACATGGTGCTGCCTTCTGGGTTACCCAGTGAACAGGATAAACAAATCAAGGATAGCAGACATGTTACAATGGATGCCCTTTATAATGCCATTCACTGTCCTTATATGTAATGCTTAGTAATGAGTAAATTAATAGTTTTTGTTTGTAGGCTATGTCTAGCATGTAACTTATAATAGAAAAATAAATCAGCAACACATGAAATGTATGGTTACCAGCACTACAGACATACACAGACACACATAAGCCTACATGACTGTTTTATCCATTATGCAAACAAATTGCTACTGAAAAATGATGACAATTGACCAGAGGTTTGCAGACTGTGAAAATAGAACAAAGGTACTGGAGCACTGTTGTTGTACAGAATTCAGTTCTGAAAGGATTAGGTAAAGAATGGTGTGGACAAGGCCCCAGTCACAATTCATTGGGGCCAAAATACATGACAAAGCTTTTCTCTGGCCGGCCTCTGATACCACAACAACTTTCATAGAGAATTTAGAAACATATCGATCTGATTTATTTGTGAGCATTGCTTTATTGATTGACATACAACTGACATAACGTATTTTTCACCTGACAGAAAATATATCCATAAAGCAATTAAGATCCTTTTGGATCTTCTGATTACAAACTATAAAATGAAAGTACTGAGCCCTAGAAGTTCCCTCCATGGGGGCCCAGACAAAACTAACTTTTTTCTGGAACAAGCAGATGGCAACCAGCAAAAACAGGCCTGTGATGAGAGCTGACTGAAGTTGTATTACAAAATGCCTAGGGCAACACATTTAACTTGGCATGCATAGTTCATGCAAAATAACTAGTCTGCTCTGCTATGGACCTGAATATAGTTAGTGTTGTTGTCCAATACTGCAGCTGTTCCTAAAAACGGGTCCAGTTATGCACTAATCTGATTAGAAGGCTAACCAATTGAAAAACAAAGTTTGCATTGAGATGACTGGAATTGCAAGTACGGTATGTAGCCTATTCAATGTTGAATCTATTCACAGATCATTCCTAACATTCCATTTGATATTTACATATTTCAGATAACAGCTGGATAGGCCTACAATGGATAGGCTACAATACCCAATATAAACAATAATATAATAATAATAATATATGCCATTTAGCAGACGCTTTTATCCAAAGCGACTTACAGTCATGCGTGCATACATTTTTTTTGTTGTTGTGTGTATGGGTGGTCCCGGGGATCGAACCCACTACCTTGGCGTTACAAGCGCCGTGCTCTACCAGCTGAGCTACAGAGGATGAACAAGCAGGCTACCGAGTTTTACTTGAAATATGGACGCATGCACTGCTTTTACAAAAAAATGTGGGGACATACGCCTAATACTATTAATATTTTGTCAAAAACATTCTAGATTTCCATTTCTATTCACGCACCGTTATCTCGTCACAACAATCCAAACTTCACACATTTCAACTTGCAACAATGTTTCATTAGTCTCAATATCATACATGATCGATTAATACATTATCGATAAGAAATATCGACCAAGAATACTTTTAGAGCTATTCTTTCGGGTTTTATTAAATGCAAGAGTTAATCTTACTTGCTGCTGGGTTGTTGCTCCACAAGATGAAGTGACAATTCTGCCCTCCGCCACAGTTTCTAGTGCCGAAATAGAGACCAGTGGTTCATGGGAAATGTAGTTCTTGTCTACCGGACTCAAACCAGTGCAAACCTTGGCCACCTTCAGTTGTCAAACGTTCTTGAACGTTGCTGATAGAAATGCCATGAATAGAGCTGATGTGATTCCTTATTCTACATGTCAGAGGCATGTTTGTTTTACATAGGCTATTTCTATATGAACGTTCCAAAACGTTGTGTCCTGAACCTTTGCCTTTTCTGGTACAAACGCATAATGAGAGTTAACAACTGCTTCTCAAAGAGTGGTACTAACCATGTTTCCATCCAACCTTTTTATGCGAGTAAAGTACATATCGGATAGAAAATGTAATGACAGGCCAGATGAAACGTAACATTTTTCTGTAAACTTTCCAAATGTACCATTGAGAGCATCTTGACTGGCTGCATCACTGTTTGGTACTGCAATAGCACCGCCCTCAATCGCATGGCGCTACAGAGGGTGGTGTGGACAGCCCAGTGCATCAGTGGGACCGAGCTCCCTGCCATCCAGGACCTCTATATCAGGCGGTGTGAAAGGAAGGGCCGGAAAATTGTTAAAGACCCCAACCACCCAAGCCAGATTGTTCTCTCTGCTTCCGCACAGCAAGCGGTACCGGTGCATCAAGTCTGATACCAACAGACTCCTGAACAGCTTCTATCCCCATCAGTGGAGGCTGCTGAGGGGATGAGGGCTCATAATAATGGCTGGAAAGGAGCGATTGGAATGGAATCAAACTAGAACTGGAAACCATGTGTTTGATGTACTGGATTTGATACCATGCCACCTATTCCGCTCCAGCAATTTCCACGAGCATGTACCCCCCAATTAAGGCTCTACCAACCTCCTATGATGCACACTCACAGGGCCTATAAACACTTATGCACACTGACACCCCAACACAAATACACTCACTCCATCATTTGCTCACACACATAATATGCACATACATTTATACTGACTCTACACACACGCACACCCACTCACATACAATCATTTAAGCTGCTGCTACTCTGTTTATCATATATCCTGAAACGTTTGACCCAAGTTAAACAATTTAAAGGCAATGCTACCAAATACTAATTGAGTGTATGTAAACGTCTGACCCACTGGGAATTTGATGAAAGAAATAAAAGCTTAAATAAATCATTCTCTCTACTATTATTCTGACATTTCACTTTCTTAAAATAAAGTGGTGATCCTAACTGACCTAAGACACTGAATTTTTTACTAGGATTAAATGTCAGGAATGGTGAAAAACTGAGTTTAAATGTATTTGGCTAAGGTGTATGTAAACCTCCGACTTCAACTGTATGTACACTACCGTTCAAAAGCAATTGTTTTGTCCATTAAAATAACATCAAATTGATCAGAAATACAGTGTAGACATTGTTAATGTTGTAAATGGCTATTGTAGCTGGAAACGGCTGATTTTTTATGGAATATCTACATAGGCGTACAGAGGCCCATTATCAGCAACCAATTGTCCTGTGTTCCAATGGCACATTGTGTTTGCTAATCAAATGTATCATTTTAAAAGGCTAATTGATCATTACAAAACCCTTTTGCAATTATGTTAGTAGAGCTGAAAACTGTTGTGCTGATTAAAGAAGCAATAAAACTGGCCTTCTTGAGACTAGTTGAGTATCTGGAGCATCAGCAATTGTGGGTTTCGATTACAGGATCAAAATGGCCAGAAACAAATAACTTTCTTCTGAAACTCGTCAGTCTATTCTTGTTCTGAGAAATGAAGGCTATTCCATGCGACAAATTGCCAAGAAACTGAAGATCTCATACAACGCTGTGTACTACTCCCTTCACAGAACAGCACAAACTGGCTCTAACCAGAATAGAAAGAGGAGTGGGAGGCCCCGGTGCACAACTGAGCAAGAGGACAAATACATTAGAGTGTCTAGTTTGAGAAACAGACGCCTCGCAGTTCCTGAACTGGCAGCTTCATTAAATAGTACCCACAAAACACCAGTCTCAACGTCAACAGTGAAGAGGCGACTCCGGGATGCTGACGTTCTAGGCAGAGTTGCAAAGAAAAAGCCATATCTCAGACTGGCTAATAAAAATAAAATATTAAGATGGGCAAAATAATACAGACACTGGACAGAGGAAGATTGGAAAAAAGTGTTATGGACGAATCAAAGTTTGAGGTGTTCGGATCACAAAGAAGAACATTTGTGAGATGCAGACCAAATGAAAAGATGCTGGAGGAGTGCTTGATGCCATCTGTCAAGCATGGTGGAGGCAATGTGATGGTCTGGGGGTGCTTTGGTGGTGGTAAAGTGGGAGATTTGTACAGGGTAAAATGGATCTATCACTCCATTTTGCAATGCCATGCCATACCCTGTGGACGGCGCTTGATTGGAGACTATTTCCTCCTACAACAGGACAATGACCCAAAGCACAGCTCCAAACTATGCAATAACTATTTAGGGAAGAAGCAGTCAGCTGGTATTCTGTCTATAATGGAGTGGCCAGCACAGTCACCGGATCTCAACCCTATTGAGCTGTTGTGGGAGCAGCTTGACCGTATGGTACTTAAGAAGTGCCCATCAAGCCAATCCAACTTGTGGGAGGTGCTTCAGGAAGCATGGGGTGAAATCTCTTCAGATTACCTCAACAAATTGACAACTAGAATGCCAAAGGTCTGCAAGGCTGTAATTGCTGCAAATGGAGGATTATTTGACGAAAGCAAAGTTTTAAGGACACAGTTATTATTTCAATTAAAAATTATTATTTCTAACCTTGTCAATGACTACATTTCCTATGCATTTTGCTATATCTCCTATTCAAACTCATTTCATGTATGTTTTCATGGAAAACAAGGACATTTCTAAGTGACCCCAAACTTTTGAACGGTAGTGTACATTTAGCAAATGTGTAATATATTGTATTTTTTTTGCAAATTTCGCAACATAATACGAATTGTAATTCGTAACATATCATACGAAATGGGTGATGGACATCCACAAATTAATACATACCATTCGAAACGTAACATATACTAAATGGATTGTCTCGGATTTAAGTACAGAACAATACGAAATGCTCTGACAGCACTATAGATCCAGTATCCCTGCACATTGTAAATATGGTACTGGAACTGACCCTGTATATAGAATGCTTGCTTACTTTATCGTGTTCTTATTTTTTTATCACGTGTGTTTTTGTTCTGCCTTGTTATTTGTAATATTACATTGTTATTGATTACTGCATTGTTGGGGTTAGAGCTTGAAATAAAGGCATTTCACTGTACTTGTGCATGTGACAAAACTTGAAACGTCGACAAAAAAAAATGGTGGGATCTATTTGTGTTGGTAAAATGAATAATGCGAGAAATGTCGATGGAAACGCTTTTATGATTAAATATTGATATACCCATATCTAAGTAAACTTGGGAGTCACGCGATGACATGTGTGGTCCTCCCACTACGACACATCAGGAAAGCAACAGATTAAATAAATTATGTTTAACTTCACAGGGTGGTGAAAGTGCAAGGTGATGAGTTTATTGCTCCTTTCCAATAAATATAGAGGGTCTTATTCTGATGACATTATCATCGATGCTTGGCAGCCGTTTGACAAATAAAAATAATCTTGCTCTTTAGTCCATAATAATCTCATCATGAAGGCTATACGTGCGCTGCAGTAATGTATCTGCGTGCTGTTGGCTATATAAAAAAAATGTTTTGTGAGAAAACCATCAGTCCAGTCGAAAAAGCGACGGAAACCCATTTAACTTGTATTTTTTTATTCGGTACATTGGAATTTAACCACAAAATGTATTTTTATGTGCACTATGCCAGTCTTTGATCTGCAACAAGTCAATTTGATGTAAACATCTCTGGTGGGAAATTGGCCATATTGTTTTTATACGGATTTTCCAATATTTGCATGAAAATCTGTCGCCAATTGGATGGAAACCTACGTAGCTAGTGACCTGGTTTGAGGACAAGTTATTTTCAATGATTAAATAGAAAATGTCAGAAAATCAGGCATTCTTGATAAATAAAGACATTCAGGAGGGCCGTTGTGTGTATGGCAGCTTGAACAGCAGCAATATGGGGAGATATTGAAATTAAATCATACATTAAAATCGAAATATTTCAGACAGTTGAGATGTTGGCTGTTGTAAGTTATATAAACATTTACTGAGTAATGCAATCATTTGTAAAGTTCACTAAATGGCATTGGAGGCATTGTTCTTCCTTCACTGAAATAGCCAGTGTGGAAATCAAAAGGTCCTGCTTCATTCATGGTCATGAACATTTTAAAATAAAAAAACATAACATATCAAATGAAAATCTAACCATATAAGTAAACAGACATGCGTCTCTCAATCTGTTTTAGTCCATCTTAACTGAAAATAAATACAAGCTCTTTAAAAGAACTCCAGCAAATACCTCTTCAGAGCAGCGAAGGTTACGCTCTCCATTTTAATTTTTGATTCCCATCAACCCTCCTATTTCCCCTCCCTTCCCTCTCTCTCATGATCCGATGTAGTCATTCCAGCTCTGTTCTCTTCCATTGTTTGTGCTATTGACAAACCACAGTCCAGACTCAAAGGAGAGTTAACACAACTAAGGGCAAGGGGTTCAATCCATTTCCATGGCACCACTTTCCTTGGACACCATAAGCCTCATCAGTTTGCCATGCAGTTTCTCTATCTTCTTAACGTCCTGGGCCTGGTCCGTCTTGTATTGTAAACACTGCAATAAAACATTAGAATGAGTCGTGGATTAGGTAGAGGGAAAGACATGAAGCCAACATTTGTTATATACAAAAATAAAAACATGTCTTAAAAGTCTTACAAGCAACTGGTTAGTTTGCCTAATAGAGCCCCACAGTGGAGGTGTAATAATACCCATAAAACCTAGCGGTCAAACAGGGAAATGGTTCCAATTGTTTTTCCACCATTCATTTTTCCCAAAGGGAATTTTAGAAACACTTAAAATAAGGGCTGTGTTTCATGTAGGCTTACCCTGGCGAGACATTTTAAATCTCTCTTGGACAATGTTTTTTACATTTTAGTCATTTAGCAGACAAGGTGACTTATCAATCTAGTCGGCTCCATTTACTCTCATATTCGAAAAATGCTAATTAGCATCAAAGTAGACATCATGCAAAACAACAAATCCCTGCAAGCTCCTGCACGTCATCTCTAGCTGACATCTTTGCTAACAGGTATTGTGTCAATGTATAACTTGCACAAGACAGTTCACAGAATTGTCAATTTAAAGATATTTAGCCAATTTATTTATTATCACATTTAGCTAACATTAGATAGTTAATCCAGAGATTCTTACCTTTGCCTCGATTCGGCAGTCTAGTCCAGATCATGGCATTTGTAGTTTATGATAGCCACATTAGCAGCCAATTAGCATTTCATTTATTTATTTATTTGGGTGTGGGGGGGGGGGGGTTAAATACAGGCGAATATATTGATAAAAGTCACCTTGTCCTAGAGAGATTTACACAGTTATCAAACGTCATGCCAGGGTAAGCCTACATGAATCACAGCCCTTATTTTAAGCGTTTCTAAAATCCCCTATGGAGAAAATGGTGGAAAAACAATTGGAACCATTTCTGTTTCACCGCTAGGTATTATGGGTATTTATGACTCATACTGTGGTACTCTATACATCAGACTAACCATGGATATTCAGTCAAAGAAGTCACCCCCCCCCAAAAAAAGACTCAAGAGTCTCTACAAGCCTAAATGTTGAATACATATTGAAAAACATACTTTGCCAGTTGTCTGTGCAGTTAGTACTTTGACGGTAGGTAGTGGAGATAATACTTTCCTGTGGACATTTTAACAACTTTTTGGTGTGGCGGTCTGTATATGGCTCTGTCTGCTTGTATTTTCAATCTCCTAACGCATTGCACATATTGTAAACAATAGTCAAATGTAACCGAACATTGTCGACCAAAGCACATTTCCTTAAACAGGAAAGGGCATGATTCATCACTCCAGAGAACGCGTTTCCAATGAGGCGAGCTTTACACCACTCCAGCCGACGCTTGGCATTGCGCATGATGATCTTAGGCTTGTGTGCGCGCCTGCTCGGATATGGAAACCCATTTCATGAAGCTCCTGACGAACAGTGCTTGTGCTGACGTTCCTTCCAGAGGCAATTTGGAACTCGGTAGTGAGTGTTGCAACTGAGGACAGACGATTTTTACGCACTACGCGCTTCACCACTCGGCGGTCCCGTTCTGTGAGCTTATGTGGCCTACCACGTCGTGGCTGAGCAGTTGTTGCTCCTAGAAGTTTCCACTTCACAATAACAGCAATTACAGTTGACCGGGGCAGCTCTAGCAGGACAGCAATTTGACGAACTGACTTGTTGGAAAGGTGGCATCCTATGACTGTGCCACGTTAAGTCACTGAGTTCTTCAGTAAGGCCATTCTACTGCAAATGTTTGTCTATGGAGATTGCATGGCGGTGTGCTCGATTTTATACACCTGTCAGCAACGGGTGTGGCTGAAATAGCTGAATCCACTCATTTTAAGGGGTGCTTTTCTATATACAGTCTAAATCCAAAATATAAGTTTATTCAACATTCTGATTTGTAATGGGACTGTTCGGAAATGTTGAGCCTACATGTTAGATACATGTAAGTCTTCCACTCTCTGATTCTTAAAGGGACGACTGGTTAGTGTAATGTAAGATACAAACAGATGTGCACATTCTGAGCAAAGGGAGCAGACAGTCTTCTCCTGAACATACCACTGCATCATCGGTGACTTTGATGCAAAGGTTACCATCACAGTGTCTGTATTTGAGAACCACCCTGACCTGTATTAAAAGGAGGGAGAAGAAAACATTTAACTAGCTAGCTCGTTACAACAAAGGTAACTGAAAGACAGCCTATTTATTGAATTAAAAGAATATGCAACAAACATAGAGCTACATGTATTACAACATGGTTGATTATCTTAATGATACTCACACATTTCAACAGTTGACTAACGTTACTATTAGGCAGTTTGTAGTTTTCCTTCCTATTCACATTTGCCAGCATATTTAACGTTACCTAACGTTAAATTGGCTTCGCGTTAGCTGGCTGCATTGCTTGAAAATGGCAAGCTAGCTATCCTGCTCCTCTAGACTTCATATCACCCCAACGGTGATGGTTATTATGGTCCATCACATTTATTTGTGCTGTGAAATAACCATTACTAAATAAATGTTGCTAGGTAACAAGTTACAGTAGCTAGCAAGATTTCAAGCTTGCTCTCAACAGAAAAATGTCGTGGTTAACGTTACCTTCATTGGCTCTTTCAAATATAGTTTTTCTGCTGCACGAGCGAACTCTTCCCATGTTTGATAATAAGGCATAATCCTTGAGCATAAGAAGTAAATTATAAAAACAGTTTCAATCGGCCTGTGAGGTTTACTAATTTAAAAACCACATCAGCAAACTAGCAGGTAGAAAATAACCGGTGTATATAAACGTCTGCGATTGGACAAGAGCTATGCTGACCAATCACAGAGCACAATACTGTGGAGTTCAAGGTATGTCGTAATTGTAGCAAAGATTCTACATATCTACGAGACATGATACTCCTCCAGAGAGAAATACACAATCTTTGCTGCCATACACTCATGGAGGCCTTCACGCATCAGCCAGTAGATGGCAGAAATAGCTTATGTATTTTCAAGAGCGCAAAATGGCGCTTTCATTAGAAAGTGAACATAACAGAAATTAATAAAATTACGTTTCATTCTTCTTGAGAAAAATATATATTATTCTCAACAGTATAAGAAATTCAACTCAATATTTCACAATATTTCACTTTTCATTAAATAATGGCCTGTTTGACAACAAACAAAAGAGATTAGACACCTATATGAATATTGATTATATATATATATATATATATATATATATATATATATTAGTAACCATATGAACAACATCTGTTTCCACCTCTGAATTTAATAGAGCAGACCTGAACATTAATTAACATTTAACTTGATGAACATGATGTAGTTCTCTTCCTCCTCTTTTTAGGAAACATTGAACAACTGGCATGATGCACTGTTAAACTTTACATGTGACACGTATTTGAAAGATTCACTCATATTCTATTTATCTGCATCATTATCATCATCCCTGTCACACAGGCTACTAACATGTCAAATATATGTCACTAGTGGTCTGTTTTAGTGATGATGACATCAGTGCGGCATATTCACATCAGTGTGGCATATTCAACCTCTCCTTGTCCCAGTTTGTAATCCCCACATGTTTTATGATGACCACCATTATTCCTGTCCCAAAAACTTGAAGGCTTCATGCCACAATGACAACCTCCCCGTAGCACTCACTTCTGTAATCATGAAGTACTTTGAGAGGCTGGTTATAGCACACATTAACTCCACCAGCCCAGACACCCTAGACCCACTCCAATTTGCATACCGCCCCAACAGATCCATAGATGATGCAATCTCCATTGTTCTCCACACTGCCCTCACCCACCTAGATAAGAGGAATACATACAGTGAGGGAAACAAGTATTTGATCCCCTGCTGATTTTGTACGTTTGCCCACTGACAAAGACATTTTAATGGTAGGTTTATTTGAACAGTGAGAGACAGAATAACAACAAAAAAATCCAGAAAAACGCATGTCAAAAATGTTATAAATTGATTTGCATTTGAATGAGGGAAATAAGTATTTGACCCCTCTGCAAAACATGACTTAGTACTTGGTGGCAAAACCCTTGTTGGCAATCACAGAGGTCAGACGTTTCTTGTAGTTGGCCACCAGGTTTGCACACATCTGAGGAGGGATTTTGTTCCACTCCTCTTTGCAGATCTTCTCCAAGTCATTAAGGTTTCGAGGCTGACGTTTGGCAACTCGAACCTTCAGCTCCCTCCACAGATTTTCTATGGGATTATGGTCTGGAGACTGGCTAGGCCACTCCAGGACCTTAATGTGCTTCTTCTTGAGCCACTCCTTTGTTGCCTTGGCCGTGTGTTTTGGGTCATTTCATGCTGGAATACCCATCCACGACCCATTTTCAATGCCCTGGCTGAGGGAAGGAGGTTCTCACCCAAGATTTGACGGTACATGGCCCCGTCCATCGTCCCTTTGATGCAGTGAAGTTGTCCTGTCCCCTTAGCAGAAAAACACCCCCAAAGCATAATGTTTCCACCTCCATGTTTGACGGTGGGGATGGTGTTCTTGGGGTCATAGGCAGCATTCCTCCTCCAAACACGGCGAGTTGAGTTGATGCCAAAGAGCTCAATTTTTGTCTCATTTGACCACAACACTTTCACCCAGTTCTCCTCTGAATCATTCAGATGTTCATTGGCAAACTTCAGACGGGCCTGTATATGTGCTTTCTTGAGCAGGGGGACCTTGCGGGCGTTGCAGGATTTCAGTCCTTCACGGCGTAGTGCGTTACCAATTGTTTTCTTGGTGACTATGGTCCCAGCTGCCTTGAGATCATTGACAAGATCCTCCCGTGTAGTTCTGGGCTGATTCCTCACCGTTCTCATGATCATTGCAACTCCACGAGGTGAGATCTTGCATGGAGCCCCAGGCCGAGGGAGATTGACAGTTATTTTGTGTATCTTCCATTTGCGAATAATCGCACCAACTGTTGTCACCTTCTCACCAAGCTGCTTGGTGATGGTCTTGTAGCCCATTCCAGCCTTGTGTAGGTCTACAATCTTGTCCCTGACATCCTTGGAGAGCTCTTTGGTCTTGGCCATGGTGGAGAGATTGGAATCTGATTGATTGCTTCTGTGGACAGGTGTCTTTCATACAGGTAACGAGCTGAGATTAGGAGCACACTCTTAAAGGGAGTGCTCCTAATCTCAGTTTGTTACCTGTATAAAAGACACTTGGGAGCCAGAAATCTTTCTGATTCAGAAAATGTATGCACTCACTAACTGCAAGTGGCTCTGGATAAGAGCGTCTGCTAAATGACTGAAATGTAAATGTCTATATCAGCTTTCTGAGATGCTCTGACTCTTCTCTCTCTTCCAGAAGCAGGTTGATGTTTATTGGAATGAGGCAGAACTGAGCAATTTCTGCTAGATGGCCTATATTGTAAAAATTATTGAAAACAAAAATGTGCTTTTTGGTCTTAATTAAAGGAGTGTGCTTAAGGTTAAGGTTAGGTTTAAAATCAGTTTTATGACTTTGTGGCAGAGCTGCCTCCAGAACAAGATTAATTACGAAAAACGCTAACCTGCCTTCCAGGATTTACAAAAAATTGCATAATATATATATTTTTCCATGTAGCCTATAATTAATACTAAATCTGAAATAACAAAGCAAGCAACAGCGCCTTGGGCCAATTCATATATCAGTTGTGAATGACAAACGTCAGTGAATTGCTTTAGCTCCCGCCTTGGGCCAATCAGTGTAATTTTGTAAATGCCGGATCTCATGGTGCTTTCATGACAACTGGGAACTCGGAAAAAACTAGGTTAAATCATGGCGTCGGTGATCTTCAGGTCAGAAAGTCAGAGCTCTAGAAAGATGCCCGAGTTTCCGACTTTGAATTCCGAGGTCGATGACCGTTCAAATGATTTTTCCCAGTCGTTTTTGCCGAGTTCCCAGTTGTATTGAACCCACTGAAGTCGGAAGTCGGAGATTTCCGAGTTCCCAGTTGTTTTGAACGCAGCATGAGATAGTACGAACGGAGACAGATCCACAGTCCCCTCCCGATTTAATCGTGGGTGACAATAACCGACATCCACATAGTGGCGCACTGAGGTTGCTTATTAGCCTACACCCCCCCATAAACGTCTCATTCAAAAATCCCGTTATTCCCTTTTTTTGCAGGGGGGGTACTTGCACCATCTCTGTTGGCTTTTGGGCTGTCAAAAATTCGAAGGGGTGTGGCCCTGTATGTTCTGTACGTCTATACGTACCTCACGTAGTTGAGAAAAGCTTTGCGTCAGTGTTGTAGCAGTAGAGAGACGGGGATCCCAGCGGCACGTTGCCGCTATATGAAACGACTGCAGTCTCAGCCGCGAAAACCATTGAATTTTCTCATCTTTTCTTTCATTAGAATTTCGTAAACGGTGGCGCGATGCACTAGATCATGTAGGATACATACTTTTTACATTTTCTTTTTTCTTTTTTTTACTCTACTGGATATAACTACGAGCCTCTTTCGTCCCGCGGCGTTCCATTGATATTATTTTGTGGCATATTCAAGTGCGAACTTTCTGAAAACTATTGCAAGATAAGTCATCAGTCAAGCCCTTGACGAAGATACTATTGTGTGACAGTACTGTGACTGAATCATGAGGTGAGTAATTGATCAAAGTCTTAAATAAAATTCACACAGCTAACTTTTAGAGAAGCTATATGTCCAACAAACTTTCTAATCTGATGCGATCAAATGCATGTTATTCATTAGGTTATTTGGTCGTTTAAATATTGCACAAAATGGTCTTCTATAATGCATATACAGCAAATTGCAGTTCAGCAATGTCGATGTGGATGTTGCCTCCTTGAATGTAAAATAGCAAGGCATGCAGTGCGCAATTGTATTATCAGTGGTTGCTACAGAGTTTACTGAAAAACACGTTTGTTTTTGATTTCATACTATGTCACACCTACACACGCCTCCAGAAAGAACATATTGGCCAGTTGTTGCGATCAATGCAGTAACGGGCAGAAACAATAACCGCAAGTTGAATGGTTAAACCTAGGCTAATAGGCCAGTGTCCTCAAAATGTACAATTTTATTTCAATCAACATGCATGTCAATTTGATCATAGCAATTCTCATGCATATTGACAAAACAATACGCATGGACATGTTGCTAGGGTTGTATTCTACGTGCAATGGGTTTTAATTCATTGTGGCATTTATTTGCTGGTTAGGCATTTTGGGATTATTCACGACGATAATGAAATATAATTTATTTGATGTCACATTAATTCAAACATCCATTTGTTCGTTGATGTTGACAATTGGATAGGGCTATGACTGTTTATTTCGCAAGGTTTGCGCACTAACTGACTATTGTGCCTTAAAAAATACATGTATTTGCATTGAACACATTTAATATTATCACACAATTCTAAACCTGTATTTAGTAAGTATGATTATATAATTCTTTATGATTTGATAGTGCTCTAAGGTCGTTCTTCCACCTATGTCACACTTGACTTGATGATGATGAGCACCACTGCACTTAGGTGTCCCATGTCTCCGCAGTGCAGGTGTGCAGTTTACTTTAAACCCAGGACAAAACAAACATCTCAAATGTGCATATTATAGTATATAATATGTAGTCTTCCTCTATTCAAGAGGTGTATGTTGCTGATAAAGATGTGTATAAGTGACCTAGCCTTGTGGCTGT